ACCTATTTAGTGATGTGCATAAACACAGCAGTAGATCAACTAGCCAAAAGAAGGGGCTAGGAACAAATGTCATCCACTGTACAAAAGTCATCTGGTCCCAATGGCCACCTGCCCTCTTTCATGTCACTCCAGCTCCCAAAGACAAAGCCTGGTCTAGTAGAAAATACTCATTTTATACGCTCGCTGTTCCCTCTGCAGCCAGAGCACAGGCTGGGAACGTGAACCAAAGGACGTTCTCTTGGAAGAACGTTTCCTCAGAGACTCTAATAAGTGACTAGAGAGCCGTAAAGCAGGGCTTCTCACGGGAAAACCCGGCACAGAGTCGAAGCCAACTTGTTAAAAAGATGGGGTGTTTGTCACATGAGATAAGGGGTATTTGGCATGACAGTGAATCACAGAAATCTACCCCTTGTGCACACTAGGTTCCTAAGGAAATCGGGATTTTAGAGACTATGATGGCATTAGTTTCCCAAGGGTGAAGGGAAAATTAGAAATGCTCCTCCATTTAAAAAAACAAAAACTTACTTCTTCGTTTAACACTTGTCCCAGAGATGGCCCTAGTCTGTCTTCCCTCCTTATGGAACCCTCATCCTGTCCATCTCCTCCCCAAACTGGTTCTTGTTGGGTGAGCTAGGAGGAGAATAAGACACCTACGAAAGTCTGGCCTAGTGCTTCTCCCCACTGGTGGTGGGGAGAGGAGGCAGGGCTACTCTCTGGTTCTGTTTGGTTCTGATTTGGTGTCGTGGAGGGGAGGGATTGTAAGAGTGTCCACAGCTTGTTCAGAACAAACTGCACCCAAGAGGAACTGTAGGATGCACTCCAAAACGGGAATACAGAAAGCTTTCCACCCAACGACAACCGTTCAGGAGAATCCCATTTGTGTGATAAACGACTCACAAAGGTTCTTTCATAAGAGCAAACAAGGGTGAGGCTGCTACCACTTATATTGATAATCTGGTCCGATTCAATCGACAGCATAAATGAGGATCAATTAATACTTTCTCTGCCTACAATAGACTATTCCTAATTTCCATGAATAATCACCTCTGTAAATACAAAGGCAAGAGTTGATCCAATCAAAGAGCCAAGTCATTTTTGTCTTGTGGACAGAAAAATCTTGTCTCATAAAAGAAATAATGGGCCTAAAACGGCACTCCTGAAAAAGGAAAACAATGCATGCAACACATCACTTCGACAGAAAGAAAGTGTTTCCAGATAATTATGCTCTGTATGCTGCAGGACTGGAGATAACTCATTAACGCTCCCTAGAGCAGCACACATTATTAAAAGGATATAACAAACTTGGTAATAAAAGTTCGAATATCCAATTATGGCATATGGTTTTCTGAGAGAAAACGCAATTAACGACAGCTGTGTCTCATGTAGATTTCAGAAGACAGTCTCATAGTGGGCAACAACATAAGCCCTCACCCTCCCGGTATGACCAGACACTCACACATGTGCACATGCTTTGAGGAGCCTTTCGGATATGAGGTCCAAACACAAAGTCATATTTGTTCATAGGTGTAGAGCACATACAAGCGCAAAGCTGGAGTTAAGAGGCAGAGAGGACACTGCCTCATCCTCAGCTCCCACCAAGCATCAGCACTGTGTCTGAAAGGCCTGGGGAGACTCAGCTTTCATCTGTGATGGAAGGCAGGGTGAGTAACCACTTCCTTTCAAATTAGAACTCGGTGTGTCTCTGACTCTTTTTGCCTGCTCTTGAGACTTCCTCCTACTGGTTGCCTTGTCCAGTCTCAATATGAGGGCTGCTGCTTTGTTGTATCTTGTTTGGTCCTGTTTGGCTGTTGTCTCTTGGAGGCCTGCTCTTTTCTGAAGAGGAAATGGAGGGGGAGTGGATCTGGGGGAGAGGGGAGGTGGGGAAGAGGAAACTGTCCTTGGGATGTATTGCAAGAGAGAAGAACCAATTTTCAGTTAAAAAGAAAAGTTCACACACAAAAAATCAGAACTCATAAGATGCCCCATTACTAGTCCTGTCTTCCAAAGGCCAGCGCCATAACTTTGGACAAACTAGTTAACGCCTCCACGACTGGTTTGTTCACCTGCATGACTAGTGGCTGCTCCTTGACCACTGGGGTTCTCGATCACAATCAGTGCTCAGGAGTCCTGAAATCACTGGCTCCCTCCATCTCTCCCATGGAGCTAACACTTCATGCTTTTCCCTTGCCTCTCAAGAAGTGGCTATGCAGGAGAAACTTCAAGTAGTTTTCAAAGACAGATCACAGCCTTCCTCTTCTCGCCCAGGCCCCTTGGTGGATGCCTGGCTCTTGAGCCACCATGTGAGATATCCAACTACACAAGAACAACCTAGAAAAACCTAGAGAATGGTGGGGCACAGCTATTATCGCAGCACTCAGGAGAGAGAAGTAGGAAGATTGAGAGTCTGAGGCAACCTGGCTAGACAACAAAATTATAAAGGGGAACCATTTGTGAAGAGGAGAGAGATATCCGGGAGAGGTCCACGGGAAGACAGGAGAGGATAATGGAGGAAAAGAAACGCCAAGAACACACAGGGTAACACATGCCTCAGGAAGACTATCTGTTTGTACCTTCTAGCCTAGGTGACGCTACAGAGAAAGCAGCCCTTGAGACCTAGGCCAGCATGTGACCTCTTCCGAATACTTTGCCTAGAACCACTCAGCTTAGCCATTCCAGAAGTCCCGGCTCACAAGCATAGTGAGGTTGAATGCATCACTACTGCTGTTTCAGCCACTAACATCGGGGTGATTTGTGTGTGTGCAGCCAAGGTAACCGAAGGGGACTAGGGGAGGAAAACAAACAATTAAAAAAAAAAAACCCTAAAAACTGCTACCTATCCCCAAGGTCAAACAAGAACTCTTCTGTATTCACAAGAACCTGAGAAAAGATACTGTTGAATTCTTCAAGAATGGTGAAGGTAAATACAATGCATCAACCTGTGTCATGAAAAAACAACACAAGAATAATCCTAGTTTTGTTTCCAAACTTGGTAACTTTATATGGATTTTCCTGTGTCCCAGAATAAAGGAAATGTAACAGGACTGACCCTAAGTGGAACCAACTACAGGAAAAAGGGCATACTCCAGTTACTTCTGTGTAGGTACGATACTTCAGCTTGCTGGCTTCCTGCTTCCTGTCTCTTTAGTAAACCACATCCAGTAGATACTGTGTGTTTCTTCAAACACAGCTCTGAGAAACATGGGGAAGTAGTAGGGGAAAAAGAAATGGAAATAGGATGGATGGACAGACAGATGGATGGATGGAAAGACGGACGGATGGAGGTCCGATCTCACTACGTAGCCCTGGCTGGACTGGAATTTGCTATACAGACCAGGCTGGCCTCTGACTCACAGAGGCACCTGCCTCTGCCTCCTGAGTGTGTCATTAAAAGTATGTGCCATCATGCCCGGCACAAAGTCTTTACTTCTGAAACAGGGTTAGGGTATGAGCCCAGGCTGGCCTCATCCCCTTGCTTCAGCCTCCCAAATGTTGGTTTTGCAGGCCGTCTTAGTTAGGGTTTCTATTGCTGTGAAGAGACACCATGACCATGGAAGCTCTTGTAAGGAAACATTCAATCGGCATTGGCTTACAATCCAGAGGTTTAGTCCATTATGGTCATGGCAGGAAGCATGACTGCACGCAGGTAGACATGGTGCTGGAGAAGGAGCTGAGAGTTCTACATCCAGATCGGCAGGCAGCAGGAAACGAGTGAGACACTGGCCCTCCTTGAGCATCTGAGACCTCAAAACCCACCCCACCCCACCCCTGACCTGTAACACACTTCCTCCAACAAAGCCACACCTCCTAATAATGCCACTTTCTATAGGCCTATGGGGGCCATCTTCATTCGAACACACATTTGAGGGCAGTAAATAAAAGTAGCACCTGTCATCAGCCCACACAGACAGCGAGTTGGGATACTCAAGTATCCTGATGAAGTTGAACCAAAAGCAGCATCAACAAAGTAGCAAATTGTGGCCTGCAGGCTGGATGTGGCCATGAACAAACGTTCCCTCAGCCTCCCCAGGAGGATTTCAAAACAGGAAACCTTCCATTAAAAAGTCAAACTTTAGGTCTGGCTAGACGGCTCAGTGGGTAGAAGCACTTGCTGATCAGGCTGGTGCTCTGAGTTCAGTCTGAACCTGTGAAGCTGTCCTCTGCCCTTCGTGTGTGTGCTGTGACATATGCATGCACGTACACACATGTATACACACACACACACACACACACACACACACACACACACACACACACACACACACACACAATTTCTAGCAACCCTTTCCTTCCTGGTCTTCCAACCGTTTACGGCATGGCTCTTTATTGGGCACAGTCTCCATCACTCCCGACTGTTTTACGCCTGAGCTCACGTCACCCTCGACATTTCAAGTCACTGTGAGCATTTGAGTTTTGGGTCTCATGACCATCACCAAGAGAGGAGTTCACATTTTAACACTCTCTCTCTCTCTCTCTCTCTCTCTCTCTCTCTCTCTCACACACACACACACACACACACACACACACACAGGTATCTAGGTATCTCTCGATTATTTGATTTTTTTTTTTTGAAGTTCACATTCTGTTCTTGCCCCTGCCAGTTTCTTTCTTTCTGCTCCAGACATGGGACTGGCCCAAAGGAACCCATGTGCCTACTGACTGCATAAGTCAAATCCTGAGTTGTAATTCTATTCATGAGCATTGCAGCGCGAAGTTTTCCTCTGGAAAGATCTACTCAGCTTGTGTGACATATCCTAATTATCTTTAAAATAAAGGCTGTGTCTTCACACAGCTCTAGCATTCCTACCACGGTGAATGTGGATGATTCACTGTCAGTCAGATGGGGACAGAGAGGAACAAAGAAATCTCCGTACTGTAACATCTCACAGTGTTTTCACTTAGCAGAAATGGTCTCCCCAACATTCCTCGTGGGGACCACACTGGGCAGTGAGGGCGCTGCTGGGAGTTCAGGGCCAATCATCGTGTTAGGAAAAACAACTCACCAGTTCTAGACATTGTCTGTGGCCGTAGGCGGCAGCGTAATGGATGCTATTGTAGCCTTCCTTGTCCCGGATGGATGGGTTTGCATCATTTTGAAGCAGAAACTCTAGGCAGCTGTAAGCATAAAGACGTAGCCTTAGAAACCTCTGTGTCAGAAGGAACAATCAGCACAAACCCCTCTGTTAGGAATATCCCACAATGCACCTTGAGACTGGGAATGTCAGGGAGCCGATTACAATATGCAGTTATGTACTGGGGTGGAAAGAGAGCTCATGGTCTCTCTGTCTTTATTTCATGCTAAAATAACGCTCCGAGAAGTCAGGGCACGCGTTAGAACAACTAGGTAATTGTCTTTTTCTCTTCTCATCTTAAGGTAGAAGACATATCCGTCATCAAGATTACCAAATAATTAAGATTAAGATCTCTGTGTTCCCAAGTCTCAAATGTAATAAAGGATTGGCCATTGCAGCTGGGAAACCACAAGAGAGAAGGGACTATTGCTGACATCACTGTTGGAGATGACAATCAAGATGCTCAGAACTATAAGTTTAAAACAGAGTAGGAGGGAAAGAACCCGAAAGGAGACTGAATAATAGAAAATACCAAAGAGTGGCCATACACGTAAAAGGCATCACGAATTCATCCAGTGACTCCACGTGAAGGAAGAAACAGAAGTCACACCATCAGGAATATAGACTAGACAAAATTATGAATTTCAAAAGCCTTTTTTTGGCATAGTGGTCATTTTTCTGAAAACCTGACCAAACAGGCCGCGAGCACGTCTCACTTGCAGCTCCATGTAGGCGAGGATAACTGTGAATGTGGCCCAATACAAAAGGACACTGACTGAAAACATTTAGAGGGGTTTCTGCAATGACAGGATTGTGTTTGTGATGTCAGAAGGCCTCCTGGACACACTCGGCAGAGGGAGGAGTTTGCCTCGAACTTTGCTGGAGAACCCCAAGTTCTAGAACCCCAGAACCCTGCCTGGGATGCACTGGGTATTCTGTTCTTAGAGGGAATAACCAGTTGGACAAATGTATCCCCAACAAGTGCATGCTGATTCAATTTCTCACTTTCCATCAAGACTTGCTAATTTTGGCTTTTTTGAAACAGGGTCTCATGTAGCCCAGGCTAGCTTCACTATGTAGCTGAGGATGACCTTGCACTTCTAATCCTTCTCCTTCTACCTCACGTTCTGGCATGGTGGCACGAGTCACATCCCACGCATGGCTCTGAGGAGCTTAAGATTCCAAATCTAAGCCTCCCCATTAAATAAGATTTTCCCGTGGGAGCTTTCTATAGTTGATTCACAAACTTTGAAGTTGCATTTCCTACCTTTTGGGTTAAAGTCAAAGGGATAAAAAGGCAAACTGCTTCTTTAATTTCTAGAAAACTGGTGAAACATAAATTTTGTAAACCCAACCTACTTGTATTTATCTATAAAATGCTCCAAAATAAATCAAACTCTTATTAAAGTCCGGCTATCATGCTGTCTTTGGTCCTTCATACCTTAAAAGGAAGTACTTTTTTATTTGGGTAATTAAACGTCTGTGGACAGGATCCTGTGCATGACTCACTGTAAACTGAATGTAGCCCTTTACATAAATCATCACCAGGAAGAACATTCTATGGACATGCAACCCCAGTCTCTGAATGGGTTGCAAAAAAATCATTTGGTAATTTGGAAAACATTAAGAATTCCTCCCAGAGAATTATTTAGTCCGGAACATAGCTAAATTACATGACATTTGTACAGATACAGCAACAGAAGCAATGTGGAATCTGGGTATTCTCCACATATTTCCTAAGGAAAAACAATGTTCAACTGCTGAGGCCTATCCTTCCTACACCCAGGGCGAACTAGCCACTTGAGATGCGAGATCAACAGAGCATTAGGTCCCTGGTGGACAGGGGGGTGTGGTCATTCCTGGTCTTTCCTCTGCTCCCTTCCTCACCAATGAGCCTGGAATGGCACAGGGCAAGCATTCAACTCAGTGGAGAAAGGGAGGTTTGCTGAGGTCACTTTTAAAAATTCTCTGATTTTTTAACATTATTGTTTTAAATTTAGATGTGTTCAGGTGAAACGTGGTCATTCTGTTTCACTCACAGCAGTGTCCGTCTCTTTCCCAGAAATGCCCAGTGATGTCCTATAAATAACCTGCACCAGGGCTATCCTCAGAGTCTAACATTTTGGACATAGGGAGGGGAGCAGAGTGGGCAGTGTGGAGGCCTTGGAGTGAGCACAAGCGTTCAGGCACAGAAACTCATTCCTTTGGCAACTTGAGAAGAGAATAAACACACTGTGGATCACAGGCCTGCAGACTCTCAGAGCCCGGCGTCTCCTGGGGGATGGGGCACGAAGTGGGCAAACTGGTTCACCTGCTTGTTCACAGATTCAATGGTCACTGCGCTAAGTGCTGGGCTCACCAGGGCCACGATCTCTGCGCTGATCTGTTTGTGGCTAGACTAAGGAGGAGGGCTCATGTGGCAGTGTCCCTGGGTGATGACGGCAGACACTCCAGACCCTTTCATAGCAACAGTGAAGTCCCTGTCTGAAGCCAATATGGGGCAGGGGAGGTGAGGTGAGGTTTATCAGGGGTAGCTGCTTACAAGAAGCAGGGAGTTCAGCCAGGTCTGAAGACCTTTATTCATAGAATCTGCCAAACAGTTATCCCTAGGTCACCAAAGTAGAACCTCAGGTCCCAAGTGGAGGCTTAACATGTCCCCCGTGGTATATGACACATGACAGAGTCAGATATATTGAAGACCTAAGGCTGCTGGCCCATGACAATGGTAGTCAAAGCAAGCTTATCATTTTATAGAGAGTTCCACACATTTTTTAAATTTTAGACAAAAACGGGGAAATGTGGTGGTATTGTGTTCCCCAAAATATTGTGCACCCTAATAAACTTATCTGGGGTCAGAGACAGAACAGCCACTAGATACAAAGGCTAGAAAATGGTGGCACTCACACCTTTAATCCTAGCACTCCAGAGGTAGAAATCCCTCTGGATCTCTGTGAGTTCAGGGCCACACTGGAAACAGCCAGGCATGGTGACTCACGCCTTTAATCCCAGAAAGTGAGTCTTTAATCCCAGGGAGTGGTGGTAGAAAGCAGAAAGGTATATAAGGCGTGAAGACCAGAAACTAGCAGCTTTTAGCTGGTTAAGCTTCAGGCTTTAGAGCAGCAGTTCAGCTGAGAGCCATTGGGATATGAGGACACAGAAGCTTCCAGTCTGAGGAAACAAGACCAGCTGAGAAGTTGGCCAGGTGAGGTTAGCTGTGGCTTGTTCTGGTTCTCTGATCTTCCAGCATTCACCCCAATACCTGGCTCAGGTTTGATTCTATTAATAAGAACTTTTAAGGTTCCAGGTACATCAGAACAGATGGAGAGTGAGTCTATGGTCCCTCCCTTTCTCAGGATCCCAAATGAAACCCCCAGCAGGAAGACAGACATGCAGCAACCCAGATGGACGAGAGTGTGGCATCCCATCTGACGCCCAGAAGAGACTCACAGTGCAGCTTCTTTTTCCTTCATTTCTCTGGTTCTGTCCAGTTCTTCAGAATTGTCATGGGCGTTTCCTAAGATCATCTTACTTCTCAGCGTAAGACATAGGGGAAAAAAAATCACAATTAATTTTTTCATTAAAAATTGATGATAGTTTTTACACAATTATATCTCAGTGATTTGATCCCAACTCAAAAGGGACATACATTGGTTCTCTCCAAGGCATCTAGGAAATCTATTTCCTCCCAAGGAATCCAACTGAGAACATCACTCTCCTAAAACGTCTCCCTAGCTCTGTGCGATTAAGGGCAGAATCAAGCTGCCTACCCCTCTACAGGCATCCTAGAACTTTCCAAGTAAAAAGAAACAACTCATCTCAGGCTCCTCCACTCGCTACCGTACCCGCATGCTTTCTGGCCAGGCCAGCATCTCACTTCCTATAGGTGATCCTGAGCTTCCTCTCCTAGGTGTTCCCTTCCGGTCCTTAAAACACGAAGTGTACTTGCTCTCTAGCCCTTCCCCAGTGCACAGCACTGCTCAGTGAATAGCCTGTGTGCCATGAGATCCCACGTGCGATATCTTATTAGAAACATATGCAAACACAAATGACGTGGGGCTGTGCACGCTCATTTGGGTGCACGCTTGTGTGTGCACAAACATGTGGAGGCCAGAGGTCAACTTCAGGCATCCTTTCCTAAGAACCCTCCCGCTTGGGTTTTGAGACCGTGTGGCTCGTAGCTCTGCAGGGTATCTAGGAGGCCTGACTGGCTGGTCAGCAGGCTTTCACCATGCCTGGGTTGTGTTAAGATGATTTCTTATTGTTTTTGCTTATGTGTGAAAGCCACATGTGTGCAAGTGTTCATGTGGGTGAGATCCCTAGAGCTGGAGTTACATGTGATTGTGAGCCAACTGAACTTGGGTCCTCTGAAAGAGCAGCAGGCATTCTTAACCAATAAACCATTTCTCCAGCCCAAATACCTGGACAATTGCATGGAGGTTCTGGCTATCAAATTCAGACCTCGTGTTTGCACGGAAAACACTTTACACAGCCATGTGCGTGTGTACACATGTATGAGTATATATAGTTGTTGCTTGCTTTTTGAGACGGGATCTCATGTAGCCTAGGCTATCCTAAAACTCTCTATGTATCAGAGGACAAACCTGAATTCCTGATCCTTCTGCTTCCATCTGCCAAATGCCAAAATTCCAAGTGGGTGCCACCACACCTGGCTTTTCATCCATATTTTTTAAACAGTGAATCACAATCTGTTACTAAGTGAAATTAATTAGGTTGAAGCCACCAAAATGAGGTAGAAAATATAATGTATCACGTACAATAAACATAAATATGGTTATGAGGTTTTTATTTCTCACATATGAACATATATGTGAACATGTGTGCTGTATCATGACATGAGATGTATTTCTTACTTGGATCATCATCTTGAATGTTTGAAAGAACTGGTATTATAGATCAACGGAAGAATACACGCTTAGCATACTTACACTCTAAAATTACGTGTTTAGCTGTCATTGTTCTAGAAAAGAAGCTATTAGCTCTAACCCAGAATCAGATGCACCATAGGGGGCAGCAAATAATTCAACTGCTGTCATGCAAACTCATCAAAATCTTCCTATGATTTTAAGAACTACAGAAAGGGGCCGTGAGGCCCTGCCCCCTTTCCCCTTTGCAGTGGTTCAGTGATGTCTGCTTTCCATGCCCAGCCACCTATAGTCCAAATACTTCTGGAATAAGAAATTCCTCTTCTGCAGCTGCCAAATGAGTGTTCATGCCCAGGTTGGGAAGAACAGTGTCTAATCCCATCACAGCAAGGCTGCAGTTGAAGACAGTTGGGATTATCAATGGTGTTTTTTTTTTTTTTTTTGAACACAGGACATATATATTAGCAGGTGAAGCATTTAAGTGGTAATGATGGATACTACTGTGTATGCCAAATAAATTCCAATAGGTTTCCAAAGCCTGAACTGAAAAGCCTGGGCTTGACAGCTCTACTTGGCATTTAACCCAAAAGCAGAGAAGAGAGGAAATTGTACAATGCCATGTAATAATCAAACCTAAAAAGAGAGAATGGGGGAGCCTGGGGGATGGCTGACCCTCCACTCTGAATGATTCATTCCTCATGTGCCACTCTTAGGAGGCAGTGTGAAGAAAACCCAAGTCCTCCCGTCCCTGGCTCTGCCCCAGACGAAGAACCAACAGGTTCTCTTTACTTTCTGTCCACGTCCGATGCAGCAGCATAGTGCAGCGCGGTCCGGCCCCAGCCGTCTGCCTCATCAACGTTGGCTCCCGTGGTCACTAACGCCTTAACACAGTGGAAATGACAGTTTGCAGCGGCATAGTGCAAAGGGGTCCTGAAAGCAAGCAGTGGTTATTATTATTGCTGTTGTTGTTGTTGCTATTTTACTTGACTCGGTCCAGCAAACAAGCCCATCACTGACAGAAGAGCTGGCTACCCTACTGTTGCTTCAGCTCTCAGTGTATGGAAGCTGAGGAACACAAAACCAAGTCTGCAAAGACAGGTGGCCTCCAGCAAGGTCAGTCACATGGCGCTCTTCTCTCCCTATTCCTAGTGCCTGCTCTGGGTTAGATCTATGTCACCGCCTGCCCGTGACAAGACTGTCTCATGAAGACTATCTTTAGAGACTGATAGGGAAGAGGGGAGGATGGGGAGGGATAAGAGAGGGCAAGGGAGTACATGAATACAAAGTATGCACTATCTGCATGTAAGAAAATGTCACAATGAAACCCACCGTTCTGCATGAATCAATGTATGCTCATGGATTTTTTTTTTTTTTTTTTTTTTTTTACACAAACCATCCTTAACTCTAATCAAGCTTCTATATAGTTTCCGGTTGGGTTTTCAAAGGACCAATCCCCACCTCTGACAATCCCATCCTAAAACCGTAAGTCTCATGTCCTTCGCTCAGGTCCACTTCTCCTTAGGATTATCCTTTCCTAACATTGTACCACAGCTTCCTTTCTATTCCAGAGGCTAGCTTCTTTGAGAAATATGAAGTAATTTATATTACTTATTTTTAGTTTCCAATTATTTGACATTTTTTTCTGGTGTGACTAACCAATATCCCAGGAATAATAACTAAATAGAATACTAAAAATAAAGTAACTTTAGCTCAGAAATTATTTATTAGTTTTTAAGCATTTTTTTCATTTTGTAGATGACAACTTAGGGCTCATTACTAGTTGATTTTCTCTTCAGTCCAAAAGGAAGAACTATAATCATGAAATTATAATATTTTACATATTAGACTGATTCTGTTTTAATTAATTGGACTGAAAATGACTAGGCATCAACAGTCCCAACGGGGTTTACAGATAAAGAGAAAGCTAGATTCAGGGACACATGCCTACAACCCCAACACTGGGGAGCGAAGCAGAAGGGTTGTGAGTTCAAGGCCAGTTTGGGCTACACAGCAAGACCCTGTCTCAAAACTAAGCCCTAGGTCTATGGCTGGAACTCAGTAGTAGAGGGTTTGCCTAGTATGAGTAATACTGCGGCTTTGACTCGTAGCAACATGCACAGACACACACAGCAGAGAGAGAGACAGACAGAGACAGAGAGAGACAGAGAGACAGAGAGAGAGGAGTAGATAAGAGAAGAGGTAGAAGAGGTGGGAGGAGGGGAGGGGAGAGGAGGGAGGAAATGACAGCCCTTGTTTCCAAGAGACTCGCAGTCAGAGGGGTAAGACACCACTAATATGGTGCAGTCACAGGGTGCTCAGGGTGCTTGGGGAACATTTCTGTAAGAGTAACAAGGAGGTTTCATTTGATCTGAATCTGGAAGGATAAGTAGAGTCCTCACAGGTGGGTGGTAGGGAAAGAAATCTGACAACCCTGAAGAGCTGGGGGGCAGGTAGCGAGGACCTGCTGGAGGGAAAGAGCATGTGTACACACATACCTACATGCAGTCATGTGTCACACGTGCATGCACACATGCATGCAATAGTCATGGGTCACAAGCAGGTTGTGTTTTATGAACTGTGGTATCAGGTGGTTTTGTCATTGTATGAATCAAAACTATTTAAGATACATGGGACCACTATGGTGTATGTGGTCAAGTGCTGAGTAAAATGGGGTTACTTGGTACATGACTCCACACACACACACACACACACAGAGGCGGTGTGTGTGTGTGTGTGTGTGTGTGTGTGTGTGTGTGTGTGTGTGTGTGCGCGTGCGCACGTGTCCATGAGCCAGCCAGCATCATGATACAGTTAGCTATCCAAGGGGTTACGAAGGTGAGAAAAGTTCTACGACCCTCTGGTGCTTTGTGCTCATTTAATATTTCAAATGTCTAAAAATTAATCTCAAGATGAAATGTCCGATACAGAAAACAAATGCTATAGATCTTTTGATCATATTAAAGTTTTTATTTTTATTTGTGTGTCTGTGTCTGTGTGTATGTCTCTGGCGGGGGAGTGGGGGAGTTCCAGAAGGGCAGTATTTGATCCCCTGGAGCTGGAGCTAGAGGCAGTTCTGAGCCAGCAGACATGGGTGCTGGGAACTGAACTCCAATCCTCTGCAAGAGCAGCAGGTGCTCTTAACTCCTGAACTGTCTCTCAAGCCCATACTTTGAGTCTGGTGCATTAAAGTGGTCTATTCTGCTATTTTTCTAAAACACATCCAGGTAGGCAATTTTTAAAAAAGCAGAAGTTGAGAGAGCCCTTATCTCATGGCTCTTCTCAGCTTTATGGGCGTCTCCCTACAAGGAAAGATCACCTCCTGAGGATGGGATGGCCCACTCATCCCACGGCGATCATCTCAACAACAGGCCTGCTCCATGGACCATTCCCCACTCTCGTTTACGCCCCAGAGGCAAGTCAGCCTGAATACATACCTCCCACATTTGTCCTTTTTGTGAAAATCTGCTCCACTGCTCTGCAAGAGTTTTATACATTCTACATTGCTAGAAAGACAGGGAAAATATAATTAGTACAGTCGGGGTTAATTACTAAGGTACCTACAGGAAGAGGCATTTTCTGCAGAGTACGAGCTGGGATGCAACGATAGCCTGGGGTCTAAAATGCCGTTAACAAGAAATAACCTGAACATATTGCAGGAACACTGCACTGTAAGGATCTAAAATTCCTTTTTCAGAACTAATAAATCAATAAATGAAAGGGCTTCATGGAACATTTTCAACTCAATGACTAAGGAATTTAATGATTATTATATGATTAAGCCCTCCGATGACAGCCTCATCATTTACCCTAAAATTCTTTTTTCAGAACCAGGAGGAGTTTATGAAACCACAGCAGCCTAATAACTCCGCGTCACCTTTAAACAATGAAGCAACGTGGCTGAGCACTACCGTTTATCACGGCATAATAAATCCCCACAATAACCACTTTCAACTCGATACTCCTTAATGGAAACAGCTGCATGTCCCTGTCTTTGTAGCCCAGGTAAATGAATGTGCTGGACCAACACTGAAAGTGATGTAATGGAGCACAGTGATCGTTCCTAGCAGCTCTGCCAGTCACAAGAGCCATAAATCACACAGCACAGAGACAGGACCGACCGAAGGGAATTTTCCTGTCGAAGGGCATGGAGCTAATATTCATTCTAATAGGCATTTCAAACATAAACCCAGCATGGGGTGTTGTCACTTTCTGGGCAGGTCTGAAATTCTTTAAAATGTAGGCATAGCCATCCATCATCATTCTAAACTTGAAACGTTAAGAAGTGGCTCAGAATGTATTGTTTTATTGTAATTTAAATAAGAAAAGTGATCTCATTAACGATAAGCCTTCACAGAGCTCTTCCCCATCCCACACCTACCCTTCATAGCCCCTCTTCTCAGACAGCTAGATGTAAGTCACGAAGTACATGAATTTTTAAAGGAACATTTGAATTGGTACAGCATGTCAGCTAATATACAGCACCTATTTCCACCTAATGATAGATGGAAAAGGATCAAAGGCACGGGTGGATTAGACCTGTGTGGGTTCATAAATCTCATCTGGTTTGAGGACGGGGTTGAGAGAAGGGGTCTGTTTTTAAAAATACAATAACTCTGTATAGGCATTGGTATATGACTCCAGAAGGGACCCATGTAAATAAGGGGCTTCATAGTTTCATGGTTCATTCACCTCTGATAAATAGGTAATGTCTTTGCTAGCACGCATGATAAATGGAGGATTCCTTAAGTACTAGGAAACTGATTAAAAACCAACACCTTCCCAATACCTTTGGATACAAGGTCATCCAAAAGACACTACGGTTGGTCAATATGTGGCCATATATCAACAATACATTGATCAGCGCTTTAATCTAATCATTGATTTGCTAAAGGAAAAAGCTGATGAAAAAAGGCTCTTTGCTACAGGGGGAAGGCAGGGAATAAATCACTCTCGGCCATCTTTGGGATTTCCTTGAACTTTGTTTATATTTAATCATCCTAAAAATTTCAAAACTCGTTTTTATTACAAAAATGTCTAAATGCGCGTAAGTTGATTCAACCATTTATCCTCTTAATCACCACCCATCCGCTGGCAACAAAGAGGAGAAAACTTAAGAACAAAGTTCTAATTAATTTCTTTCGGCAGAAAAGATGCCAAGTAGAAATCCATGCTGTGTCGTCTGACATCTTACAGCCATGGGGATCTCTTAGGGGGGTTGAAAGATAAGAACAGAAGCTCTATGCACTACACAGGATGGACTATTTGTTTTTCTTTGGAAGGAGAAAATCTGAGTGATGTGGGAACGGAGTTAGTGACACCTGGCATTTGGCAGAAGTGATTGGGACCCCATTTACTAAGGAAAATGCCTTTGGTTCACGGGCAGCTTATGTCGATTAAGATGTATGAAGCCATCAAGTTCATGGAGTAATGACGGCGCAGGAGTACTCACCCTCCTGCGGCAGCGGCGTGAAGGCACGTTCTTCCAAACGTATCTGGGGTGTCTATTTCAAAGCCTGCAGACAGCACGCGCTCATTACTAAACAAGGATACTATGCTATACTTTTGTCCTAGTCAAACCACAAGAAACATTGCAGAGACAGAAAAATCAGTTAGTAGGAAACCAGGATGCACGCAGTCGTAGTCAGAAAGAGGTAGTCACAGAAAGGAACGTTCACTACTCGAGCTTGGCAATTTTATAGGAAGCACCGCGGAGTCGCGAAGTCGAGAGGGATTTATTTTTGCATCCAGCCCTGGGTGAGCCACAGCCCCAGTTTCCATCCCAGGATAGAAATTTAGGAAACCAATCTGAGATGAGTGGGGCAGTGGACAGACAAACAGAACATATGAGAAACATGGAAGGCAGAGGAGCAATCCGAGCAGGCAGGGAGAGAAATTTTCTTCCGTGTGTCCCAACTTTCCTGTGAGTCTAAGATGTGAGAAACATGCTTTCATGCAGGGATTATTTTTAAGCATGCCAAAAGTAGTGAAAACAGAATCCACCATAGGTAAAGTACTTAGAGGAGGAAATACGCCTCTGGGGTAGCTAAGGAATTAATTCATAAACAATCTCCACCCTGTAGGCTTCTATCACTTTGGAAAGCCTAGGAACTTCTTAATAGATGGGGATTGGCAGGGGCAGAGATAAGAAAGATCCGCAAAGCTCAAAGCAGAGAGAATCTCTGGTTCCAGACAGCCCCGCATTATATAAAAACATAAAAATGAAACCTTCTTGGAGGGGGATCTGCCTTGATGATGTTTCAGTGCCCATGGAACTGGATGATAACATGACATTTTCTACCACTGAAATATTGAGGATTGGGCCATTTTCTTTTGTTGAAAAGTATTAAATGTCAAGTTACCAATTTAAGCCTCAATTTTTTTTTCTTCTATGACTTAAGGTTCCCATATGTCAGCTCTGGCCATTCCCCCACTCAGTTCTGGACCACTGAAAATCAGACAAGACTCTGATGCTAGGACTGATGCTAGGGAGTGATACTGGCATCCAAAAAGCTTCGGCTTCAGGGACCGGCAGGAGCTGTCTCATGCAGGCAGGCTACAGAACCACCTCACCCTGCCAAGAAAAGGCAATGGCCACACACAGCCTGCCAGAGACCAGACACCTGAAGCCACTTGGCTCATGGACAGGGCACACCAGGTCTGATCGCTGGCATGGATGCACTTACCGGATGATAATAACTTCCTGCAGCAGTCGGAGTGAGCATTTAGGGCGGCTAAATGTAAGGGGAACATGCTATGGATTCCACACCTAAAGAGAAAAACAGCCACTCACAGTAAAAGATCCCAAGACGTGTGCAGAACATCTACCCTCTGCCAGTCCTCCACTGAAAACTCTCACAAGGATCCGTGACGTAATTTTGTAATTTTTTTTTCCATTCAACAAATAATTACACAACTATTTTCTACCTTAAGATGATCTTTGTTCTAAACCAATCAAAAGCCCATAACCATACGGATGTGTGCATATATCCGTATGTACTTATATGTGTATGTGTATACTTATGCAATGTATGTACATATGTATGTGTGTACATGTGTCTATATGTACCTGTGTATGTATGTACATATGAGTATATATACTTATGTGTGTCTGTACATATGTATATGCATATATATATGTACATGTGTATATATGCATATATATTTGATAAAAATCTGAAAAGTTAAACATGTGTAACCCTATTGTTTCTTTCAGCTTAGTGGTTGAAAATCTCTTTCATTCATTCACTCATCTCTTACTCACTTATCTACTCAACACTTCGTGAGTCTAAGATACCACACCAAGTGCCAGATCTAACAGCGCTAAGCAACATAACCCTCACGTGGGAAACGACCTGCTTTATTCCTGGATTTGACAAATACTTCTTTTGGCCTAATGGGTGCCTGTGTTTTGTTAAGACCTAACAGTGGCCGTATTATTAAAAATAAAATTTTTATGAGCAGAACTGTTTACCTTTTAGATGCAAAAGTTCATCTTCATTACGGACTTTGCTAATGTAACTAACCCATATCACCATATCAGTCACAAAACACAGAAGCAAAAACATTGCTCAGCATATGTTATACATGTATGTTATACATGCTCTGCCGTACTTTAGAGCCCCTCCTCAGGACGATCCTGGAGAGCAGGCAGACATCTGGCACTTTCCTTCACAGTTAATGCTTTTCCACCTCTCTTTGCACAAGGACGCAAAGCCACAGCTGAGGTCACTTGATAGCAAACAGTATCTATCACCTGCGGTTTGCTGTGTGTTCGTAAACATTTCTTGTACCATCTCTTTTTAACCAAGTAATACATTTTAGATTTTTAAAGTCCTCTGCCCCAATCCTGTGTGGTTAACTACCCAAGTTCACTCTCAGACACAAAGTGGCCCGTTTTCAGGTTCCACACTTTGTAAGGAAACACGTATGATTTGAATTTGTTAAGCTTTGGTTTTAAACCCTTTATTTCCCCCTCAAGAGTTAGGATTTATCACGTGCATGAATGTGTGAAAGTGGATACACAGCCACAGACACTTCAGTCTTGGGTGTTTTGTGAAGTGCAAGCGTCAGCGATGAGCCGCACTTTCTCTTTCATGCCGGTTCCTGTTTGCTGGTATTTTGTTCCATTTTCTGTTAGTTTTCCTTCCCATTTTGGGGGATTTCCAGCCCAGGGTATACAGTAGCTGGCATCCATCAGGCCGTGCCATTTCCCAGTCTTCCAGGCAACACCACTGGAGGAGAACGCTTGTAACTGTCCACCCCCCATGACAAGAGCAATTCTACTGAGGAACTGCATCGGGATGATCTCACTGTGCGTGCGAAGGAGGAGTCAGGAGAGGGAGAAAGGGTCTCATGTCAATGTACTATTTATGACGTCCCCACTTGGCTTAATAGAAACACACTATTTTTAAAGAGGTATTATAGATTATAAATCTAAACGGGACTTACAGCTAATGGGATTAGCATGCAATAATTTGATTTGTTTGGAGAGGTTAAGGCAAAAGTACATAATTAGATATTTCTAGACTTTTGGAAAAGAATATAAAGAATGCATTGAATATAAAGAATATATAAAATGTATAGAATATATTCTATGACTTTTTTAGTTTCTAAAGGAACATTCTGAATCAAGACTACATTTTTTGAATGAACCTCATTTTTAAATATATACATTCATATATAAATACACATATGTATAGATACAAAATGTATTTTATAAAGACAAATATGTGTATATATATACAAATGTATAACTAATATATTTTGTAAAGAGATAATATATAAACACATACATGTTTATACATGGCATATAGTTTATAATTACATATGTACACATATATGTATACAAACAATATATTTTATAATGACAAAGTATTTTTCTATAGAACAGAGCAAGTTTGAATTAGAATGAATTAGAGAAATAACATCAATATCTATAAAAACTTGATAAGACAGAAAGCAATAGTGTAACAGTTACACAATATAGTCTATAAACCTCATTACCACGCCTTTTGATCAATCTCTCCACTTTTATCACTTTCCACAATTCATCACAATCTACATTAACTAATTATTTTCTTTTTCACTGCTACTTAGAGAGATAAAACTAATTTAGGTTAGCAAAACTTCTGTTTGTTATTTTATTCTGCATTTAAGAGAGAGTCATCATTTTAGTACGTGGTTTGAAGGTATCGACATAGATGCCACTATTATTGGCATTTGAACTTGAGTATGACACTGTTCGAACAGTCAACTATATACCACGTAAACACAAGGAAAAGGGGGCAGAATTCAGAATCTCTGAATCATGCAGAAAGGATTTAAACATCTGAAATAAAACTACCCTTTGCTGTTATAAGACAGCTCACCAAGGAAGAATTTTGAAATCTTTAGTAGGAAAATACAGGTTTGGCTGTCATAGTTAGATGAGGAGCCTCGCTCTTACTTCAGGCATACATCAAGGAGCATTGAGAATAAAAGCGCCAAATAACCCTAAAGTTAACAATCTATAAGCTACAGGAAAGAGGAGACCAATTCCGCTTAAATTGCTGCATTTATCTGGCAAGTCATAAAATTAATGGAAGCCATTTGTATTCAGGTATTCCTAATTTAGCAGTTAGCTGGCATTCCCTACTTAGCTATTCCAAAATAAATGAGGTCTGAAAGATGTTCTTGTGGCACGCTCTCAGAGGTGAAAGGGCTTCTGTACCAGAAGAATGTTGGGGTCTTTTCCAGTTTCCTTTTGGTATTAGGGGACAAGGCTGCTACACCCAATGTATTCTAGAACTTTTCCTTCGCTCTCTGTGGTAAAGAAGTGTTTAAGGCAATGGAGCCAGAAACTGAGTCCTGGTTTTGCTACTTGCCGACTACTTGGTGCTTGGCAAGTATATATGGCTAACTACGGTGTCTACGTCACAGTGGTTAGAAGGACTCACGGGGCTGGCATACGGTTACCCCGTTACCCCGGGACTGGTTAGCTGCACCAGGAGCTGGCGGTTGCGAAGCTGTGCTCCTGAGGGTGAATGGAAACCCGCTAGCCTTCTCAACCTCCTCCTTTCTAAGTCCTGGTTCACAACTCTCCGAGCGTGTGGGATTGGACTAACTTGCCGATTCAGTGGGCAAGACGCGTTTCCTAACTTAGAATGGACTCCTCTCACGATCATTTTATCCGAATTGTTCTCAATCGTTTTAAAATCCAAACTTTTAAGGAGTTTTACCTGTGTCACCCTAGCTACCGCTGCAGGCATTTGGGTGCGGCTGATAACGCAGAGACCGCTTCCTGCCGTCTGCAGCCTACAAACACTTCCAGTGGTTTGAGTAGTCCGAACACTGCAACATGGCCACCAAGGTTTCTTGTGAGTGGCCATCGCCCGTTCTACGGGGATTCCAGATTCTCAGTGAAGATCTCTGCACTCCTGAGAGCCGAGCTCTGGCCTGTCCCTTCTGTTTGACACTCCATTGCTGTGGGATGGTCTGTATGTCAAATGTGTTGCTGATTGGTCAATAAATAAATCACTGATTGGCCCGTGGCCAGGCAGGAAGTATAGGCGGGACAAGGAGGAGAATAGAGCTGGGAAGTGGAAGGCTGAGTCAGAGAGACACTGCCAGCCGCCATGATGACAAACAGCATGTGAAGATGCTGGTAAGCCATGAGCCACGTGGCAAGGTATAGATTAATGGAAATGGATTAATTTAAGCTGTAAGAAGAGTTAGCAAGAAGCCTGCCACAGCCATACAGTTTGTAACCAATATAAGTCTCTGTGTTTATTTGGTTGGGTCTGATGACTGTGGGACTGGCAGGTGATAGAGATTTGTCCTGACTGTGGGCCAGGCAGGAAAGCTCTAACTACACTCCATCTTTTCCACTGCTTTATAATGTTTCTTAAACTCATTAACGCACTCTTGAGGGTCACTGCAAACATCTTTGAGCTCTAAAAAGTCCTCTGAGAGAATATATTCTTTTTAATAATAATCTAAAATATAAAAGATTTTGGGTTCATCTGAATGAATATGCCAAACCTGAGTGGCGCTTTTGCACATCAGATTACCTTGGCTTCGTGTATCATAGTCTGGTTAAAGGTTGTCCTAGGCCAATGGGGAAAACATCCAGTTGACTCTACTAAACATAAGCTGTATCTCAGCCTAGGGAGGGATGATAACAATGCAAGGACACTGAAATCGTTGTGTGACCAAAAGATGGCACAGTTGGTTAGACTAAGGGCCACTGTGCTGGGGGCTGAGCCCATTGTCCCACCACATTGCTTAGACCGCTGCAGGGTCTTCCTTTGTGCAACAGACATGGAACCCTCAAGAGCGGCACCTCATCCACCACAACCACCTAGAGATGGTGATCTGGCGTTGTACAACCCGAGTTACTACAACATGTGTTATCAGACGGGCAATGGGCCATGTTGGTACACTGGAGCTTCAGAACCAAATGACCAAGGACAGGGTCTCGGTTCCTACTCCTCACTAGCTCTGTGACCTTTCTCCATGGGGCTGACCATGGAACACTTACCCTGTGGGAATGCTGTGGTGGTTACATGTAACCCTTTAGAATGGTGCCGTGCCCAGTTAAGGTGCCGTGCCTAGTTAAGTACTTATGGGGGTTTGCTACCACCACACTGGTGCTAAGTTGTGCGGTTTCCATGAATGTTACTGTCTATGTGTTTTACAGTTACTATGTTTTCACAGTTTTTAAAACATTCGCTGATAGGGTAATTTCAAAAGCCCAAGAAGTTTGTAGTTTAGCTAATGCGTATTAGTCAAGTAATATAATGAAAGTAAGTCTACACAGAGGATCTGAAGCTCTCTCTCCACCAAGACCTGATTAACAGATGCTCATCTCAGGCTCGGTTGACTCCAGCTTCTTCCCCAAGCCAGGCCTGGCCTGGTAAGACTTATATCCCAATGGCGGTGTCACTGGCTCGGGTGGCATACTTAGCATTCGGATGGTCACTGTTTATTTAATCTGGCCCCAGATAGATTATATATTTCTTGAGAGCAGGGACCTGTATAACCCCAGAACCTGGCACTGTGGTTGACAGCAAACAGGCACTCACCCATATGCAACAATAGAGTATCACAGTCAGTTATCTGTGTAACCATGGTAACTAATTCTGCTGTGACGGAGGCTGAACGGAGAGCATGATCAGTGAGGTGGAGGGCTTGGCTAAAAATGGATTTCTTTTTTTTTACTCAGAGAGATACGCACAGCTAACACCGTTTGCCAGCATTCCCCTCCTGTGCAGGTCCTCAGCCTCATCCTCAGCCTACGACATCATCTTTTCTTCCCGGGATACTTGGAAGAGGCTGCCGAGGGTGTGCCGTCTGGATGGCCTCCAGTCTGTCTGGGTGGCTATCAGAGGATCTCTCTTACACACAAATGGGACTGTTAGACACACCCCACACCCATTTATAATTGCTTAACAGCTTCCGAATGCCTCCAAATAGAATCCAATTCCTTGGCAGGGCATAAGAGATCTTTCTAGATCCTTCTTCCTCCTTTCCACCTCATTTCTCCTGACTCCTCCTCACATCAGGCCACCCAGCCCTAAGGCTTCCTTTTAAAATGTCTGTGTTGTGTCCTTGTAGTGGGGACCCCTTCTTCATGCTTCTGTCTTTCTTTCAGTTCCCAACTCCGGACAAACGTCTACCCATTTGTTCTTTGACTAGAACGCCAGGTCTTCTGGGAGACCAGAGCTAAAAGTCGGCTGTGAAAGTCCACAGTAACACACACGAGACTGCAACCATTCACTCCTGTGTGACCTCAACCCTCAGGCCAGCACCCCAGGAGGTCGGCGGAGTCTAGTTCAACCCAACAATTAAAGAAGGTAAACCATTGTAACCTCAAAGCTATGTGTTCCTTAAAATGCACTTCAAAACACCTGGCCTGTGCTGACTTCAAAAGAGAACGTGGACCCACCATGGATACCCTGAACCATCTTAATTTTGGTTTATTCTCCAGCAAGATTTTCAATTATATTACACACATTTGATGAACATGGAATTCCTAAGATATGCTTTCCCTCCTAAAAATTCAGTTATGGCTACCCACAGCCTCTATGATCAAGGCTAACCTCTCCATTTAAGTGTTTAAGGCACTCTTTAACTTGTCTCTATTACATATTATTAGGCAATAAGATAATAGTTAACATTTATTGATAGCTTCTATGTGCTGGGCACTGTTCAGAGAGCTTTTCATGAAGATTATCATTTTAATAAGCTTTTCTGGTGTATTTAAATAGCTTGCACTCATTCAGACCTTACCAGAGAGCTTTCCTAGTAATTAAGTCATTTAATCTTCCTAACGAACTTACAGATAGGTACCAGTATTGTCTCCGGTTTTCAAAGCACAGAGGGATTGAGCAACAGGCTCAGAATCACACAGTCCCAAAATGAAGCAGGCTGAAAGGAGGAGAGCCCAGAAAACCGAAGGAGTACGCCTCTCTGCTGTTCTCCTGCTGCTGCTGCTGGCCGCTGCCATCTTCTGCGCTGCCCAGAGACCCTCCCCCTCCCCCACCCTCACCCCTATTCCCACCCCAGGTTTGCTCAAGGCTCATCTTCAGTTTGAAGCCTTTTCAAGACCTTCCACCTCCACCTTGGGGCTTTCTCTTCCCTGTCAACCTTGACAACACAGACACCGGGCATTTTGCCACTGAAGTCCTGTTTTCCTTTAGAACTCTGGTTTACGGTCTGGCTCTTCATCCTAAGTGGGACTTGAGACCAACAAAATTATCTCCCTGAAGATGCCGGGCAGGTAACTGCTCATGAAGCCCTCTGAGAACTCAGTCCCCCCGTATCCAGAGAAATGCTTTCCCTATTTTTGTGGAATTAAGTGCAAAATGAAGTCAGACCCTCACGCTTCCTCCCCATGTGGCAGACAAACTCCATTGTAGCCTGTAACTCTAGTCTTAAAACCGAGCAAAGACTCTGAATAAATTTGAACTTGCCTAGTCACGTTTCCTGTCTAACGGTGGATGCTGAAACAAGCCACGGGACCCTAGAAAGCGGAGCTGAAAACGAAGTCAAGGTTTTCTCAACTAAAACCAGCAGAGCAGGCCGAGTTGTGATGCAACTGGAACAAACCGGTTCCTCCTGGGCTCTGCCTTTAAAGTCCCTTTCTTGATTTCAGATGTCCTCTGCGCTTAGCTAATGGCCCCATCCACCTTACCCGGGATAAACGGGAGGCCTCCACTGCACGCACGCACCACGCATGCATCACGCACGCATGCATCACGCACGCACGCAGCCTCCCTCGGCGCTGTCCCCACACGTGGCAGCCAGTCCACGGCCCTTTCCCAGTAACCTACTTGGCTGCGTCGGCTCCGCTAGTTATTAAGGTGTTAATCAGAAGCTCGTGACCGTATCTTGCAGCCACGTGGAGGGGGGTGTTGCCATCCTTATCCACACAGTCGATTTCGCCTCCTGAAAGAGATGGTAACACAGCATGATCATGCAAAGCTTCCGGTTGCTTTGGGTACCGAATGCTGCCAGCCACCTGAGAACACCAAATACCGATTTCCTTTCTGCTTCAGTGGGCATCTCCGCTCTACGGTGTGAAAATGACTGTTACGGGGATGAGTCGCTGTCTGAAGCCACAGCAGTGCCGTGTCTGCTGAGATGGAAGTCTATTAGAAATGCTTTTGAAAAAAAAAAAATCTGTATTTTCTCAAGAACCTAAAACCTTGCAACCATATTCTGGCTCTAACTGGACAATACAATCAACTTCCATAAAATACAATTCTGGAGATTTATGGAAATGACCTCACACGAACCGAATGGGACAGAGCATTCAGGGAAAGATTTGTGTAGTATGGTGACCTAGCTTAAAGATATGGATGAGTAAAATGAGAAAAAGTATGGATTAAAAGCTGAAAGTGCCTGTATTTGCTAAAAATATCACATTAGTTATCTGTCATCCTTCCACAGAATATTTTCATCTTGTCTCATGTATTTTGCATTGTTTCTCTCTCAACTTTTTATTTCATGTTTCCCTTTCTATGAGTGTATGTATAAATATAATGGGTCTATTTAGTTATATGAAGAACCATTTAAAAATAGTGTAGCATTTCACGTGTCTATATGTTTCCCTTAAGATCAAAATATTCCCACCCACAAATGCATCCCCTTATCTTACTGAAGAAAATGAACACTGGTATAATTTTGTATAATATACAGTGCGGATGGTACTTTCTTCAACTGCCTTCCAGATGTGTTCACAGCTGTTTACCTGTCTGGAACCCAAAGACTCTGAGCATCTCCTTCATGACTCCTTCTGGACTTTATTTAAAACCCCACATGCCATTAATATTTTTGGAAACCAAGCCATGTGGTACAGGATGTCCAGCATCGAGGCCTGCCTGACGGTTTGCTCTTGAGAGTCACACTGAACATGCTGGCAAGGACAGTCCTGAGCAGATGGGGACTTCCCAAGACACTGCCCCAGCACACACGCAGGCTGCATTGGTCTGCTGCTGGGTGGTGCAATGCTGCATGCATCATGTGCAGCAGGCACAGAGCTTTGGCACGGAAAGATGATGCTGTTGACGGTGGCCGCAGAACGATGTGAGCGCTTAACGGTGCTGAATTATCAATTCTTTAAAAATAGCTACAGTGGGGCTTTTCTGTCGTACGTATTTTACCTCCATAACAAAGACATTCGCGTTCTCAAGATGGCACCTGCCAACACATCCTACGGCAAAGGAAGCTTTACCCTTTATAGTTCGCAAGCATTTTTGTGTCATGACCCTTTAAGGCTGTGCGAATACTCATACTTTAATATGCTATTTCCAACAAAACTTTTCCACAAGGAATCCCCTCATACAGGGAACGCTTTAGCAAAAGCTGCCTAACTGCTGGGCACTCGTACACTTGCTTTGATATACATTTGATTCTGTTTTAAATTTTTAACTAGGTTCAACTGAATGTGCTTTATTCGTATGTAAAATATTAATACTTCACAAATCAAAGTTATATTTTTAAAAGCCCCATGCTTAGGAGCTATCTCCGTTGGCACAGTGGTTGCCATGCAAGCATGAAGATCTAAACTGGTTCCCGGAACCTGAGTTAAAAGCTGGACACAGTGGCACACACTTGCAATCCCAGCAGCAGTGAGACAGAGAGACAGAGACAGGAAGAACCCTGGGACTCAGTGGTCAGCCACGGAGTCCAGTTAGCAAGCTCCAGGTCCCAGTGAGAGACCCTGCCCCAAAAGAACAAGGTGGATGGCTCCTGAGGAATGACTCGCCTGAGGGTGACCTGTTGCCGCCACATGTACAGGTGCATATGTACACACATGTGCATGTGCGCGCGCACACACACACACACACACACACACACACACACACACACACACACCCCTCTCTTCCCATCCCCCCTATTTCATTCTTACAGACTTCCTACCAGAAACCATTTTCCTTAGCTTTAGCACATGCTTCCTGCGTTTCTCTGACAGAGTCTTCGCTGACCACGTCCTGGAACTCCAGTTGAGTGGTCACTTTTTGAGGCCAGCTTTAACAGTACACAGCTGTGTTGTCCCTCCTGCGTGGGTGAGCTGGCTTAGCAGACTCATATCCTATGGATTAGGCTGTAAATAACGTTTTGCTGTCTCCAGAAACACCGCAGTGAAGAATCTCATGTGCGTGTGTACACTTTTTCTATTTGCAGGTTCAGAGTAATTCCTAGAAGGATTCTTTCTGGTTTAAAAGCAAATGGGTGTGTGTTTTCGTTGGGTTTTGCCAACTCGCTCTCTGTGGGGCTGTGTAACTCATGCTAACCAGCGCTGTGAGCGTGTGCCTCCTCTCCACAGTCTCATCAAGCTTTGGAGAATCTGTCATCTGATGGCTGAGAACCAGCATCCCAGTGGGTTTTCATTTGCATTTATCCTATTATGAAGGAAGCTGAGCACCATCTCCTCTATCAAGGGACGTTTGCTTATCTAATCCTAAGGAAGCATTTTTCAGGACTTTTGCCTGTTGTTCTAAATTTGTGTGTCTGTGTGCCGTCTTTTAATCCTTGATTTTCCAAAAGCTCTTCAGACTTTGGGGGATTGCGTATTTATCAATAATATATGCTACAAATATTTTCCTTCTAGTCTTCCTTTGTCCTTTGTCTTTATTTATGGTGTTTTCATTCAGTTAAAAACATAAAAAACAAACCTTTTCCTTTATTGTAGCTGGGTTGCAAGTAGAAAAGCTTTCTGCACATTCTGGTAACAAAGAAATTAACCCATTGTTTACTACACTGGAAAAATGGGTTAGGTTAGGTTTGGTTAGGTTGATCCATGCAGAGTTTATCTTAGTAGCTGTGATGCAAGTTGTCTGACTAAATAAATGTTCCCCCAAAGGCCAGGAAGAGTGAGCCTGAGGAAGAGGGTCAAACAATTCATAAGGACAAAGTAGGTTAACGGTTGCCAGGGTCTGGGGAGGGGGAACAAGAGTGGATGCCGATGAGAACGAGGTTGCTAGGGTCTGGGGAAGAAGGACGGGAGTGGATGCTGATGAGAACAAGGTTCATTTAGGGATGAGAAGGACATTCTATGGTCACACGGTAGTGACAGTTGTGTGACCTTGAGAAAACACTCACACTCACTGAACTGTGTATGACTCAGATCCCAATTTAAATGGTAAAGCCTAATGGACTTGATGGCATTTGCTGTAATCCCAGGACTCAGGAGGTTGCGGCAAACGGATGGTGCATTCAAGGCTATCCTGGGCTATACAGTGAGTCTGAGGCTAGCCTGAGCTACATAGCAAGACCTCATTTCAAAAAAGGAAAAGAAAAAGAAAAATTGAAGGCGAGAAGAAAGGTACAGAAAATTAAAGAATAAAGTCAGCAGCATGGAAGGACAAATCACAATGATGCTGTGTTTACATAAACAAATAAGCTCTTTAACAACACTTAAATCACAATGATGCTGTGTTGACATAAACAAATATGCTCTTTAACAACACTAAAACATTTAAATACCCAGTGTATTAGAGCAAAGTGAAGTCATTCTGAGGGTGTAGCTTTTGGTTATTCTATTCAGAAATAATCTCTGCGTCATTGTGGAAATCTGTCCATTATTGAGCTATCGGCCCACGCTGGTAGATAACAAGTAGGGTGGAACTCAATGAATGATTATGCTTTACCAAATAGTCACCCTTACTCCCCAGTACCATAAAACCAAAGCCAAAGCCCACCAGTCCACAAAGTCCTGTCACCTTTGGCCTTATTTTCTTATGAATCATTTTGACTTGTTAATATATTCATATTGTGACAAGCTATACTAATATTATAATATCTAGTACACACACCTAAACTACATGCATGCCTGTATTTACCAAATCAGAAATGTGAATATAGGAATGGATGGCTTTAACCAAGCTATGGAGATGTACTTGTTCTAAACAAGGTATTGTTGATGAAGATGATCAAATAAAATACAAAAACAGAGACATTATTCATAATGGACTGACTATCCAAGGCAGTATTAGTATTCTGCAGCATTTCCTTCCATTTTTGTGTGTGCATACTCGTGTGTGTATCTGAGCGTATCTGCGTGCATTTGTATTTGTGTATACACATGTGTATGCATCTGTGCATTTGCATATGTGTACATGTGTGGATTATATGTAGAATTTTCCATGGCTGAGCTCACATAATGTAGAAATATTTGTATCTTGCTTTCTCCCTTAATGCTACACTACAAATACTTCCATGTGTTATTTTTTCACTAACAAAACTGTAAATGGCTATATAATGTCTGTAATTTGGAGCATTTACCTAACAAGCCCCCAGTTAACAGACATTAGAGGCTCTTCCCAGATGTTTGCTACTAAGAAAAACAGAAGAATAAACACCTTTATGAAGATTCCTCACACTGCAGACCACTTCCCGCCGGCAGCACCGTTAGAAGCAGAACTCCTGGACTAAAAGTCTGCATCTTTTTAAGGCTCTGGACAAGCAGCAGAAAAACAACTTTTAAGAAAGGCTGTGCCAGTTTACATCCTGGTTCTCAAACACTACCTCAGAGTCTTCCTGGATCTGGGAAGAGCTTGAACTTCCAGGCCAGGATCCTGTGTTTTGTCTTGTGAAAAAACTATTATCAAATCCCCCAGTATCTGCACATCCCTTCAATGAGCCAATGAATCCTACTTTTGCTCATCCTAATCAACGCCACAGGGTTTTTCGGTTTGTGTTTTTGTTTTTGGGGTTATTTTGGGGGGGGAGCAGTATTTTTTACTTGACAAATATTCTGTTAAAATGTCAGTTGATAATGAGAAAATAAAATAATTATCAAAAGTATGTGGCCCTTGTGAAAGAGGCAAAAGCGTCACAAACTGCGCTCATCACAGACAGATTTGAGGTGCTTCCCTCTAACAGGCTTATGTGTCTAGATCGTCACTAAAGACTCAATCCGCTGCCAGCAAGTCTGCGCATGCGCAGCTGACAACCCTGCTGCCTTTGACCACGGAGGAGAAATATCAACGGCGGCCCGAATCCAAACCCTGATCTTTACTCAAGCTTGTGTCGCTCTGGGATGACGCTCATTTTTAGAATACATTATTCAAACAAATACAGTAGGATCATTCTTGTCAAAGTAATAATTGGGTATCTTTCTACATATAAATAAGTAGAAAATTCCAAAATGTTTACCAAATTGCCAACAGAAGTTCTGATTAGATAGGTCCTTCAATGATTTCATTTTAGTTTGCAGTGAGTGTATAGTTATTTCATAATAATAAAAATGATAAAGTTAATTATTGTGACCATCTAGGGAACAGAGAGATACCTCACTAGAACCTGATTTTAGGAGTTTCTATTTAAATTAATTCATTTTTATGACCTGATTGTATTTTTGGCAGCCACTCGGCCTCCATGGTTACCCCGGCGTAGTGCAGGGCATATATATCTGTCTAAGGACCTGAGCTGTGGTCTACCTGAAAGGTCAACCACAGAACTGAGGTAGGGGAATGGGGAAGGAGACCCATAGACTTCAGAGAAGCCTTTGTTCTGGACACCACACATAGCCACATATCCTTCCCAGCTGAGAGCCACCAAAGGTTTCTGAAGACATGCCAGGGCCTAGAATTACCATCCTCAAATATGCCAAAAATTGAGGAGAGAAAGAAGAGGGTAAAACTATCAACAAGGGTAGAAAACCACCTTATTCTGTGTCTAAAAGGTTTCCCGTGGATGCTGTCATGTCTGTTTAAAGCCACATAAGAATCATTACCATATGTATATGCTTTTGCTGTCATTTAAAATACATTTTAGGGGAACGTCATAACAATAGAAAATAAGAGAGACTTTGCATTTGTATCTGAAAATATGTTTCCATTAGAGTAAATCCTCTGGATGAGGGAGTTTTTATTTTATCAGCACTCTACAGACATTTCCATTTCCACCTGAAAATATTTAAGCCTTGCTCAGAGCATACATTAAAGATCTTTACCATTCATCCGAAGGTTGCAGGTTAGATGCGGCCAACTGATCATTAATGGTCAGTGAGTAAAATAAGCATTTTCCACATTAAAGGCGTGCGTGGCACGTTCAGAGGGACGATCAGCCTTCATCTGAAATTAGCTTTTCACTGCACAAACAAGAATGGTCATCCTCAGTTGCTTCAGAAGGACTGTGAGCCAAAAGGTCAAAAATCACACTGAGCCCTTGTAAGCTAGTGCCTTTAGAAGCTTTAAAAATAAAGAGAGCTTGTACCAGGAGAGTCTAAGGCAATATCATTTTTGAACTTTGTAATTTGCTGGACAGGATCTGAGGCAGCTGCCTCGTGCCAGTCGCTGGATCGGATGGATGCCCCTGATGCCACACAGTGTCATCTTCTAGGCCCCACCCCCCTCTTGCTGTCACTTTGCAACAACAAACGGTGTGATTTGAGTCCAAGTACATTGTTTTTTAACTGAAAAAGAAAAGGTTGTGGGTGTTCTGAATTGCTTGTTTTAGTGATTGCCTTCCCAAATGATGCTGGAAGGAACCAGGTTTTTGTGTAGATGAAGTAAGCCTGGCTGGAGAAGAGAATCAGAGAAATGCTCTACAGAGGCCAAACATCTAAGCGATCTAACAGAACAAACAAAAATACAAAAGACGTTCCTGGTGCGTGGTCAACTGTGTCCCCTTGGGATAATGCCTTCCAGCTCCAGGACACAGAGCAGCTTATGTGAGCTGTGAAAGCTCTGGAGACTGACATCAGGCCACGGGGAAGCAGGGGTTGGGCCAGAGCAGGAGTTTTTCCGAATGCAAGAAAATAAACAGGAAGAAAGAAAAGAAGGTCCTCTGCTCCCTAAGAAGAAAGGTCAAAGGGAAGAACTGACAGTTCTCATGCATGGAACGAAAGCAGAAAGCAAGCATCAAGTTGTCCATCTACGGGGACAGCTCTGTCCCAATCTAGGTACCTCTTAGACCCAACTGAACTCAAATAGAAAAGAAAATTTGTGAACACCACTGTTCCTCTAGGGAGATGTATGTGCAGATGGCGGTCGGGAGGCTACTAATAATAGACTGTGCTCCAAACCCTGTTCTCCTCCACATGCTACTCAGAGAGCCCAGCTCGTGACCACTGGATGCTCTGCCTCACTCTCTTCACCTTTGAAGTGAACTTGATCACGTTCCTCCTGGGATGGTGAGAAGGAATTATATAGGAGTATCTAGCCAAGAGTCTGGCACAGCATGAACATTCAGTCAAAGTTAGCTCGATCATTACATGTACTAACCTCTGTGTTACAGCCACTGTATCTCATCAGCTCAGGCCTGAGCATCCTGGCCCACCCGTAAACTAGGTACCAGCCAGTCAGTGATGGGATAGGCTATAACAAAGGGGCCTGGAAACTAAGAACTGCGGCTCTTTTCCTCACTTTGAAGTGCACCAAACTCAAAGTTGGACTGATGGAGAAGTCAAGGCAGCCAACAGCCCCTGAAAGTGCTATAAGCACACTACTATGGGAGAGGGAGCTGAGCCATACTTGAATTGGAGGAGATGCAGAGTGTGGTCCAGCAGAGGGATAGACTGGTAAAGGAAAAACAAAACAAAACAGCTCATAAGGGCTGAAGAGCTGGCTCAGTGGTTAAGAACACTTACTGCTCTTGCAGAGGACCAAGTTCAATTCCCAGCATCCACATGTCTGCTCACAACCACCTGTCACTCCAATTCCAGGGAATCTGACACCCTCTGGTCTTTGCAGGCAACAGGCACATGCATGATACACATATACACACACAGGTAAAACATTCATACACACAATGATTTTTAACTCTCCAGCCTTGTCTCCGCCACTGGAGATTGCTTTAATAAGAGACAAACCTTTTTGTTCCATATCGCTAAAAGCCACTGGTTAAACTCACATAAAAATATTCAAGGGGCTGGGGAGATGGCCCAGTGAGTAGGAGCACTTGCTCTGTAAGCACAAGACATAAGTTCAAATCCCCAGCACGTACATGAAGAACTGGGCATGGCCGTTCGTGCACATAACCCTGGCACTAGGAAGGAGAGATGGGCAGACCTGAGACCTTGCTGACCAGCTTAGCTGCAGCCCCAAGCTGCTCAGGGAGACACCCTGTCTCAAAGCCATAAGGTAGAGCCAGGGGAAGACACCAAGCATCCTGCTCTGGCCTCTGTATGAGCTTGCTCAGGCACTCACACATATGTTCTCATATGTACACCACACACATAACATACAACACATAATACACACACCAAAAGAGTATGCTAAAAATATATTCTTAATTTAAGCCTTATTTGTCTTGAGGGGGACAGATACTTTGTGAAAAGCCTGTGAGAAATACAACAGGCTAAGAAAAGACCTCAAAGGGAGAGGCCTTTATTTATGGATGTCTATGGATCATGCTGCAGGCTAGGAACAATGGGTGTTCTGCAGTGAATTTCCACATTGCCTTTCTTGACGCAAGGAAGCTTGCTCAGGTGTCTTCTCACACGGCTTCACCGGCATGGTTATAAATGTCAGTTTACGACCTGTGTTGCTGCTGTTTCTGCTTCCTAAGCATCATCAGTGACTGGTTTTATATATATATTATAAAGAGAATATATACAATATACAAATATATATAATATTCATAGAAATATATATTTGGTTTTTATGACTTGAGTACCTAAGTTATAACTCAATGCTACTAACTTTCCATTGCGCCCAAAATTCTTTCAGCTACAAAATAAAGAGATCCAAGAAAAGTCACTCGCATTAGAATTTTGAGAATTGGAAGATTTGAGTCTATTAAACATAGTTTAGACGTGACCAAACGGACCAGAAATGTCAGCTGAATGCCTGGCCTAAACTTGTTTTTTGTTATTCTTGCTTTCTGATTGTCTCTAAGGCTTGCTAAGATCATCTAAGTTGTGCTGTCAAAGTTAACCTGCTCACAGGTGTCAACCCTGACCCCAGGGCTACCATGAGCTGTGACGCGCAGTGAGTCTTCAGGGACTTTGGCCTCCGAGACAGCCCAGTGATGCTCAAGTCCACTGCTGTTGAGCGTCTGGAAAACGGCTGTGTTACCTGGCTCTCCCAGCTCTCCATCAAGCCTCTGCTTTCAACACACACTCTTACCTGCTTACCCCGAGTCACCTGACTTCTTCTACTTTTGTCCATGTGGTTTAATGAGCTGAAACTTGGGGAACTTTGTTGGGTTCAGCAATCTAAAAATATCTTAGACCAGCTGTTAGAAAATGCAAGCTATAGAGGCTTAGCTTCACTAAAAGTGAAAAACTACAGTGTTTTAAACCTGGTCATCTCTCCCAACAGCTGGGCACACCTGTTTTTCACCTGTCAGGAATTGACTACAACATGGTTTTACATTCTCCCCACTACTGGAGGAAACTAAACACAGTATCACAATGCTCATGTAGCTGTTAAAGCCAATGTAATCTGAGAACACTGTTAAGCCCCACCGAAGCGGGTCCCTTACCGTTCTGGATGAGGGTTTGTGACCGCGTGAACCTTCCATGGACAGCCGTCATGTGCAGGGGACTTTTGCCGTCCTTACTCTACAAAACAAGAAAGGAGAAACAAAGGAGTTGTGAGCCAGCATCATTGGCCTGGAATGAACTGGGAAAACCACTCTCGACATCCTGGGAATAGCAATTTCAATTTTGTTTTAAAAGTGTGGTCAACAACTACAAAGAAGAGATAATTTTGAAATAAAAAGATAAAGATCCCAAGAGGCAGAGGCCGGGGAGGACTGGGACAAACTGTCTTCTGGATGAGATGGGACTGACACTCAGGAACTCAGAGCAGTTCCTCTTGTGGAGGAACCCTCCCCTCCACATGATCAACCCAGTCCACATTCCAGCAGGGATGGATTCCAGCAGGGATGGGGGCCATGCCCATGAGCCCTCACCGCCAGCTGTGAGCTACTGACCACTGAGGGCTGCTAACGGAAGGAGAGTCCCTGGTAAGCTGGCCTCGCTTCAGTGAGTGGCCTCACACCCATGCATCTATGGTGGGGAAATCTGATCTAGGGAAGGGCAATTAAGTTTGATCAAAATACACTGTATACATGTATGAAATTCACAAATACAAATATTATATACAAAAAAGTTGCAATATATAAGACTTCTCCAGGTACTATGTAACACCACATCTTTAAATTTTTTAAGTTGTATTATTTCTATGATTGTGTGTGTGTGTGTGTGTGTGTGTGTGTGTGTGTGTGTGTGCGTGTGTGTTCAATGGTGGGAATGGGGGACAGGGATAGTATACATATGGAAGCCAGAGGATAGCTTCATAGAGTACATTCTCTCCTTCCAGCTATGTGTGGGTTCCGGGGATCGAACTCAGGTCACAGGCGTGCACATCAAGTACCTTTTCCTGCTAAGCCATCTCACCAGCCTCCTTGTCTTTCAATTTAAAAAAAACTAACAACACATCTTAAAAACCCTTAGGGAAGTGATCATCCAAAATGCTTTCTCCTCCCTTGCCATCAGCTGACAAGGGACATCTCCTTGGTGTACTTCTCAGCTTCTAGAAAGGTAAGTGATCTGTGAACTTGCGTGGACCTGTCTGACCTGTAGCTGACTTAATTGATACAACTCTCAAAACTAAGGGGAAACCCTGCACCATCCCTCCATTTTACTTTAGATACTAAAATGTGTGCTCCATTTACTTATGTCTTACTCATGATTAAAAAAAAAAAAATGAAACTTCCTAAAACGGGCTAAGACAAAACATAGATGTACAGAACTTATCTACTGAGTGTTATCATACCAAATATCAGACTCCCACACAGCTAATTAAGAAATAAAAATGAGTCTGAAAGAAACTGTCATGATTCTGGGACAAAAGCATCTCCAGAGGAGCAGGTATGCAGACTTCACCCAACTCACAACACTCCACACAGCACTCTGAACCCTGTGATTACGTGGACCTGTTCCTATTCAGTAGGAACTGTGCCTCGGAGCTTGAATGCAGCTCCTTTTCCAGGCTGCAACATGCAGAATGAAGCCCTGGAGGTGTGCTGTGACGGCAGCAGCATGCAGGTATGTAACAGAGATGCTGCATGGACTGCTGCCAAGCTGTGACATTCAGTACGGGGAAGGAGTTTGCTAAAATAGTTTTAAGTTGATGATACGTTTGGACTTACAGTGAGGAGTGACCATATCTTCATTGTGTGTTGATCTTCAATGTTATTACATTTTAATTAATTTATTTAATGTGTATGTGTGTGGATGCACATATGGAGGTCAGGGGGTAACTCGAGGGAGCCCGCTATTCTCATCTTTTATCATGTGGTACCCAACGTTCTAACTCAGGTCCACAGGCTTGGTGGCAGGAGCCGTTACTTGCTGAACCAGCTTGCTGGCCTTGGGTATTTTTAAAGCTTGTATCACTGTCATTTTCCTAAATATCAGTAGAAATGTTTCCTCAAGTCTGAGGTTAAAAAAATGAAGTGCCGCCGGGCGGTGGTGGCGCACGCCTTTAATCCCAGCACTCGGGAGGCAGAGCCAGGCGGATCTCTGTGAGTTCGAGGCCAGCCTGGGCTACCAAGTGAGTTCCAGGAAAGGCGCAAAGCTACACAGGGAAACCCTGTCTCGAAAAACCAAAAAAAAAAAAAAAAAAAAAAAAAATGAAGTGCCACACATGAATATTCAACCTTAGATAAAATCTAAGCATCTATGCTTTAAAATGGCTTTGTTTTTAAAATCCCTAGCTGAACAATCACTAAATAAGTATCTCTTAGAGGACCCAGATCCACCCCTACCTAGGGTGCTGATTGGTGATAGGAATTCTGTGAACCAGCTCAATCTACTGATTCTGAACGGGCCCAGGGTATCGTCTCACGCTTGCATGGTAGACTCAAAGGCAAGAGCCATGCTTTAGACTATAGGTTGTTTTGTTTCGGCAGAAGGAGCTTTATTATATCCTAGGTATTCCTTTGAAAAGAGTAAAGTAGTTATCCAAACTCTATGCCAACGGAAGAGTTAACCACAGTGGTAACTACATCCTAGTTGAAGAAAAAAAAAAATACTAGAGTTAAAATTTTCTTCAGTAGATGGGAGGAAAGCTAACAGGATCTATGTAATATGATTATAGAAGGAATCAGAAAATATGGAAAAAAGACAGATGCCTGGCACCTTTTAAAGGAAAAGGAAAAGCCATTGAGAGGATGAGGTTGTCTTCATCACTGACCTTGAAACATTCATGGACATTTCTAAAAACCATCTAACTCCAAAGCTTGGTCTGGGGTGCAGACAGTCCCAATAACTCAAATACCTGGGAACTGCTTTGGAATAAAGACTTAAAAAACAACAACCAAAAAAAAAAAAAAAAGAGAGAGAGAGAGAGAGAAGAAAGAAAGAAAAAAATCAAAAACCAAAACCCACAAGCCCTTCAAGCAAGAGGGATGGCAATCTGAGACTCACAGAAAGCGAAGGTGGGAATTTCAGAGCTGCCACTAACTTGTCCATAGATGGTGCTATTTCTTAAAATTTTGTTCCAGGATTTGCTCTTAAATTTAATATAAACACATAAGTAATTATGATTTAATTAAATGTATATAAAGGTATAAACACTCCAGTGTTTAGGAAATATCTTGGTAAATAGTGAAGCCAGTGCCTTCCCATGCCTGGAAATGATTGCGAGGGCTCTACCAAGGATTACTCACTTGGTAGCTGAACTGCGGCTGTGAGCCAAGCAGAAGCAGGCAGTGGCTAGTGCAGAGACTGCAAAGCCAGTCTTGCAGGAAGACGGCAACCACGCTCTGCTCCTTCGGCTGCGTGGGTCTCTAGTGAAGGCACAGACAAGCAGAGATGACCGCCGATGGTAAAAAGATGGGATGTTTGGTGCCGATGAGGCCCACTTCAGATCTACCCGTGCTGACTGTTGCCTTTGTTCACTGACTAATAAGGCTAGGCAGTAGTAGTCATTTGTCCTAAGTTTCATGGCTACCATTTGGGGCTGCTTTGCTTACATGTTATGGATGAAAGGGTGCTCACTGTTTCAAAACAAAAACAAAAATACTGAAAACCAACGCCATTCAAAGGGCAATGCTCCTTTGGTCTTCAAAACGTAGAACTCAATCAAGCTAAAACTACAACTCTGCTACACTTCATTTTCTGCCTGAAAAATTCTTCACACTGGCCCCTGGATGTTGCTACCTGTCACTGGAACTTTGGACAAGGGCAACATTGCCTATGTGCTCAGGAGACTCTATTCAATTCTTCTATTTGTTTAAGGCTCTGCTTTTATGGGGGAAAATACTTTTCTTAATTCCTAGTCTCCCCCAATTTCCTGGGTATGTTTTCCTATCAGATTTAAGGCTTTGAAAGCTTTATTTTGAGAATTCACTTAATTAAACAAGAAAGCTCTTTTAAGTATGGTCAAGGCCTGAGTCATAAAGGAAAGCTAGCATGAACTAAGATTGCTTTGTGACAAACAGTAACCCTTTTTGCAAGGTAGAATCCAACACTGACCTTGAATTAAACAGAATATTTCAATTGTCATGATCATCATGCTCCTCAGGAGCTCATCTTTTCTTCTATTCATAATGTCTTATTTGCTTATCTTCCAACACACACACACACACACACACACACACACACACACACACACACACACAAAGAAAAATAAACTAAGTGCATCAGTTTACCTCCTATACCTACTCATGTTCTTGACATCCTCTCAATGAATGTGAACAATATCAAATGCTTACTGTATGACAGATTTTGATCTGTATAATTTAGGTATGACAACTATGTTTAATCTTCACAACATGACCATGAAGACAATGCTATTATCTCCCTAACTTTACACATAAAAAAAACTGAGGCTCAGATGGGTCGCGTTTGGTTAGTTATCTGAAGTCAATGCTAGGATTGACTGATCTATCTGAAGCTAAGGCAGTCTAGCCCCGGATCAAAGCACGTGACCACTCTATAGTACCACCTCCCTTTCCCTGGATTCCATTCCTCATCTCCAGCTCCCCTCTCTTCCCTTGCCAAGCTCTGTTGACTCTCTCTCTCTGCAAAGTTTCTCCCTCCAGAGGCCCCTCCCATTCCTCATCTTCAGGACTCACAACCTGGACCAGTTTTACAGACGTTCAATTACTGCGAAGCCTTCCCATTTGCAGGTCTGCTACAGTTACGCTTATTTTTTTCTCAGGATGAAAAAAAAACACTTTCTTTTGTATTTAAAAATAACATGCCCATTGATCACAGAGGGTTTTCAAACTGTGAGTTCAGTGGAGGGTTACAAAGATGGTATCTTTAACTGAAGTCCCTCATCTGACTTCCCTTGAAAGACCCACAGATGACCACAGATGACACAGTGACTGTTTAACCACTTGTGTGCTTACCTTAGTGGTCAGGGTGCTTCCTGGTGTTCCAGAGTCCCACATTCTATACATTCTACACATTCATTCTATACCTAGTGCTGAGTGGTAAGGGATGGTGGAGGGCACTGCTTGGGATATTCTGCCATGGGGCAAGGGTGTTTCAGTACAACCCAAATGGGGAACGTTGAGGGCACAGACACACAGGCTGCCTCCACCAGCCACCATGGTGAGCCGGTAAATCATGAGTTCACGGCTCCCCACTCCCTTGCTCACACCATTCTCAGTTGGGAATGTCCTCTCTCGAATTATTTCTGTGGCTCCTCTCAATTTATAATCTTCTTAGCTCAAAAACAAGCTCGGTTTTTGTTTTGTTTTGTTTTGTTTTGTTTTTTTATCCCCAGACAAGAAACAAGCGAACATGTGTGTCATCTACTTTGCAACGTTTCACTACTCTTTTGCTCTTGGTACTCATCACATGCTCTCTTGCCTCCTAGCCATCCGGGTGTATTTTATCTCCTCTATTGTGAATCTGTATGGCCAGAGATTACATCTCATCTTCAAGTTCCCTTCCCTCCACTATCAAATCAAGAGCAGAGCAGTCCTTAGTCAACTCCATGGCTGAAGGAATGCTCACAGCACTTGGGTCACTGCTCCATCACTGGAACCACTGTTATAGCCTGCTGGGAGAAAGCATCTGAAAGCCATGCTGGGGATGGGAATAGTCAGCCATTCCTCTGTGTTCTCAGCAGCTCTGCCCAACCAGCTAACCACAGGTATCTGTGTTAAAATATGGGCTGAGGTGGCACTTTTAAGACCCGACATTCACCCTGAGCATTCATTAACCCACAAAGGAGATATGATTGGAGCCTTGCTGCCTGCATGCTGGTACCATCATACCCGGAGAGGCAACCCAGCAATTTCCACAGCCCCTCAACCCAGGATAAAGCTGTGTGGATCAAAGTGCTTCCAATTCACGAACACACAGCATAACTGACAAGGGTTGCTTAAGTTCTAGGGCTCAGTGCAAAGGTGTTTAAGGCAGAGAGACTGAGGGTCATACCTGAATGTTCACATCGGCCCCATTGTTTACTAACAGTTCCAGACACAGAGCACCATGAGTGGACGCCGCTGCAAAGTGCAGCGGGGTGAAGCCACTGTTGTTGGGCTGGTTCACATTAGCACCATAGTCGATGAGCTCGTTCACGACAGCATCTTGGCCGTTGTAGCAGGCAATGTGCAGTGCTGTGTTTCCGTATACATTGATTTCATCAATCTGCAAAGCGTCCAACACAGGGCAATTAAAATCACTGGGGCCAATTTACTCCGTTTGCCACAAAAGGCCTAATGGCCCTGGCGAGGGAGAGGAAATATCCACATAAGTCAGCATAATTATTCAGAGCTCACTTGCTCCCCAGCAGGTATCCCGAGAGTGCCTCTCTCCCTCCCCCACCTCCCACCCCCAGGAAAGACAGGTAAAATTGAATATGACAAAAAATGACCCATGAGGTATCAGAGGTTTCAGCCTGTGGAGGGGTTTTCCCAGCTGGAGGGAGACAAACAAGACAAAAGGCAAAGACACTCTCAAAATGTCAGAAAAGCAAAGAACAAACCCCAAAGTCATGGGCTCGGGAACAGTGACTATGAGAAGAGGGGACAGGGCTAGCAAGAGAGGTGACTTGTGGACCCCGTGCCCTTGAGTCCGGCTCAGAATCAATTCCGTTCTCACTCTGGAGCCTGATACCTCACAGGCTGACCCACCTGCGGGACTGAGGTATGTCGTCCACAGCTCCCTACTGCTTTCCCAGACCTGCTCAAGGGTCAGGCATCACCACCTTGGTCTCTCACAGCACCCGGTTCTCCTTTACCCAGGGGTAAGATACCCTGAGCATGACTGTGCCTGGCTGAAGGAGAATGGGACTGTAGAGACCCACAGAGGTTTCCTAGTGAGAGCTTACTCAGGGTCTGAGAACCTGAGCTTGCTTTACCCAGCAGGGCTGCATAAGGGGCTGATTTGACCACGGGTGTGGTTACCAGGTGTTTGGAAGGGTCTGCACTTGGCTGTGTGGTATGTTTTAATCTAGTAAGGGGGAGGTCTTTTGCCCCACCCCTTGGCATTGTTATAAAAAGCCCTTTTGAAGAGACAGAAGGGACCATTGGGTTTTGATCCAGGTCCTCCCGAAGCTATCCTGTGTTTCTGTCTTTCTCCTCTTCACTATCTTTCTATCTTAAAGCTTCTTATCCCTCTCTCCTCCTCACAGGAACCCTTTAAAAGGTGGGAGCTGGCCTCCCACAGCCGACTGTAGCTCAACATCCAAGTCCCTTTGTTCAATCCCTGCCATCCATTCTCCCTCTTGGACTGTGGCCCATGATTTCCCAGGTCAGCTTCTGGGGGTCCTCTTTACATAACTGATTATTACATATTACACAGGATATAAATGTTAACCAGGAGGTGGTGACACACGCCTTTAATCCCAGCACTAGGTGGAAGAAGCAGAGGTAGGCAGATCTCTGAGTTTGAGCCTAGCATGGTCTACAGAGCAAGATCTAGAATAGTCAGGGCCACACAGAGAAACTATGTAGAAAGAGAGGGAGAGAGAGATGTATATAGTCTCCATGTATAGAGTCTCCATGTATATAGTCTGTTTCTGGTTGCCTGCTATTTAATCAATGCCCCTATCACAATTTATCAGCTCACATAAAAAGAAATACAGGACCCAAGGAAATAAGTTTTCCCCCACTTGAATAAAAATGCGAACAGGGTTGTATTTCAGAGCGGGAGAAAATGCAGAAAGACATGAACCGAGCTGTGGCACAGCCCCTGGGCTTACCTCCACCCCCAGGTTCAGGAGATGCTTGACAACGTTGATCTGCCCATTGGAGGCTGCAGCATGCAGCGGGGTGTAGCCCTTCTTATCCTTGCAGCCAACTTCAGCGCCGTGGTTAAGAAGCAGGGCCACAACCTCCAGGTGGCCTTGACAGAACAAAGCAGCAAAAACACCATTAACCTTAAATAGGCAACGCAACAACGTGTTGCATCCAAAAAGATCATTATTAGCTCCTTTTTTTTGTTTGTTTGTTTTAACCACCAGTGTTTTTCTGATCCACGCTGCCTCATGGAAAATAGTCAATGAGCATTTATTGAGTACCAACTCTGTGCGGGACATTGTATCAGTCCCACCCACGGGAAGAAGGAGGATGAGTCAATAAGACTTGAATGAGATGTAGCAAAGGTGATGGCTGTTCACCGTGACAACAAAGAACCAGAAAGTGACAACACGTTAGTGTCACAGCCTTTTGAAAGTTGTACTGAAGTTGAGTGTGCAATCCCAGCAACTGGGAGACGGACGACAGCAAATTACAAGTTCAAAGACTGCGTGGGCTACGGAGTGAATTCCAGACCAGCCTAGGTGGCTTAGCAAGATCCTGCCTCAAAACAGAAACAGTACAAGGGTTGTGTTAAAAGGAAAACCATTACCATTCCTCACCAAAAAAGCCCAACAGTAACAATTTAGTTTAGAAAACTAACTAAAGAAAAAAAATCAGAATACTCCCAGATTACGGTTAAATCTGAAACTGCCATTGCTTTGATGGGTTTTAATCCATTTAAATTTAAAAGGGCAATTTCTTATGTTACCCTGTAAAATAACTCCCGTAAATTATTCACTAAATAGAAAACCCTCCTAATCTCAACTGTTGTGGGCATTTGAACTCTGCTCCCTGATTCACAATGATAAACGTGTTTGGCCTTTATTTTATAATTGAAGATCACCCCAAGCTTAAGTTCACTGTTACAGACATCGAAGCTAACTGAAGGGCAGGAGACAAATACTGACTGCAAGACCTAAAGTCTGTGAAGGATGTGGCGGGTGTAGGTAGGGGTGGGAGGTGTGTGAGCTTGCGTCATCAAAATTTGATTCTTTATCTACAAAAAACGTGTTTATAGGACAAAATATTTTCAATTACTAGTGGTGCTATCTCAAGCTGTTTGTTCCCATTTTTACCCCATTAGCTCCTAAGAACTGTCACCCACATGTGTGCTTTCCCATCTGCATCCTGATGACATGGGTAATAATGATTTGACTTCTTCAGGACACCAAGATATTTTAACCATACATCAGGAGAGCAGAAGCTTGAAGCCCCCAGATTCTTTGAATAGCTCAGTGTACATTTTATCTAAACATCTGATTGCTTTTAGCCAACTCAAAGGTCTGTGACACTCAAAAATGAAAGAAGGGGCCGGGCAGATAGAGCGACACAGGTCTGTAATTCCAGCACTGGGGGGTGGGGTAGGAGGAGCAGTTCAAGGTCTTTTGCTACACAAAGAGTTAATTCTTACAAATTTTTAAGATTCTTGGGATCTGTAAGTCTAAGAATTCATTCAGAAATCTGTAGTGAAGTGATTTGTTTTATTCTTACCCCAATCCACTCTTTCCCGCCCCCTACAATTAATGTTAATTTTTGAAGTGATGATAAAAGACATGTATGTTTATCAAACTGACTCAAACAGGCAAAAATGCTCAAAAAAAGAAGCCAATCACCAATCGCTGGCGATACCATCTAATATTTCACTATTTATTTTCCAAGTTTCCCTTCACTGTTTAGAAGTTTCCACAGCAATGGAAAATATTACACATATTACCATATTCTATACGTACATACAGAATACGATACATGTCTGTATTTCTCTATGAGGCATCCCTCCTTAGTGCATCACAAGCCCTGGGTGTTTATAAACACACATGGACACCATTGCTGTACTCCCTACTGGGTCCCTCTGTGTGGATGCTCTGGAATTTACCAGAACAATATCCCCCGATGGGTATCAGCTTGTGTGCAACTCGTCTCACAGAACCCTGTCTTCTTTTCTAACTGATGGTTCTTTTCCAACCAGAAACACAACAGAAGGATCTTAGTTCTTCATGTCTCATGTCTGCATTGAAATCAACTGGGAAGACTATCATTTGTCTAAGATCTTTGTGCTGATCAAAAGAAAAGGACAAAACAGAGAGGCACCCTATGTCTTCAACTCCAGCAGAGTGAGGTGGACAGAAGGGAAGCCCGTGGGCCTCCACTTTGAACCCAGCGTAGCAGAAGCCTGATGGACGGGAACTCCACCACTTCTACCTACAAAGGAGCCAGGAAACTTTCCTCTCTTCCTTCCCTTGGTTTATTTCAAAAATATTTAGAAGTGCAGGGACAAAGAGCATGGTGTCCTTGCCTTGCTAAATAGTCTACTTTCTTTTCTAAACACTTTATTTGATGCCATAACAAGCTAACATACACGCAAAGTGTGTCGCTTTCCAATCCAGAGTGAAGAATGCTCAGGGAGATCCAGGCCATGAGTCATCCTCCCCCTCTGTTGGGATAAATAAGCCTCTGACAAGGCAGCTGGCCAACTGGAGCACTTTCCAGATGCCAGGAAAACGGGCCAAATCTTCATTCAAGTGGAATCCGACGCTTAAGTCAGACTTGCCCAAGAAAGCCTACACGGTCAACAAGGGCCTGTGGCTTCCGCAGTTAAGGTCATCCGCTTGTGGCTTTTAGTTGTTGTTTGTTATGTTGGGGATCAAAACCAGGGTCTTATGCACACGAGGCACTCGCTCTCCCATTGAGCTAGTAACGACACCTGCACTTTGCTTTCCACACACAGAATCCTCACCCATGTACGCTGCCCAGTGCAGAGCACGCCGGTCCTTCTTGTCAAATGCATTGATGTTTGCCCCTTTGGCCAAGAGTAGATTGACCATCTGGAAGATAAAAAAAAAAAAAAAACAATGAAATCAAGTGTTCCCTCTGCAATGATGAGGGCTCCTCACCGCCTACATGTGATCTACACCAAATTAGCTCAACCCTAACAGCAAGTCAGGGATTTAGACAAGAAAGATGGTATCACAGCAGGCCCTGCCACACATGCCAAGAGAAGACGGGTGTGACAGTCTACTTTCTCAGTTCATTATGGTCTGAATTTGAGAATGGATATAATTGCCCAAGTGACAGACCTCTATTATACTGACATTCACATAAAGTCTCAACCATCACAATGGCTCCATCTGTGGCTAACAGGGTCTGAGGAGCGTGTCCCAGTTCCCACTGAGGCGAACACTCACCTCCATGTGTCCATTCAGAGCTGCATGGTGCAAGGCTGTGCGTCCTCCTCGGTCAGAGACGTTGACACTGCTCAATAGTGGGATGATCACTTCTGCACACTTGACAGCCTTATTGGCTGCTGCCACGTGGAGGGGGGTCTGCCAATTCTTGTCTCTCGCATTGACATCGGCCGAGTGTTTAATCAATACTTGTACTGCCTCCTAAAACAAAGCAGTTTGCAGGGTCACTGACAAATGCCAATCAATACTTCCTGTGTATAAGGTCTTCTCAGGACACAGGGACTGTAGTGAGAAAGGAAAGAGCGCTCCCTTTCAGGCAGGCTGTGGACAAGACATGTCCTCTGAAGTAGAGAGTTGAAGAGGAACACAGAATGACATATTCACTCTCTCTCGCTTCGAGCCTGGCCGCCATCTAAAATCAAATATGCCTTCTAAAGACAGTTTTCTTTTGAGACCTCCTTAGATCACCTAAAAGCATCCATGTGCAGATGTGCACATCAGGTACAAGACCTGTAAGACAAACTTCCACAAAAACGTCCTCTAACATGAAAGGAGTCTGACTATTAGCCAACCAACTCCCAAAGCCCATCACATTATTGGACCCCTTTTTGGCTTGGCTTTGTTTTGGTTTGTTTTACAACCTGACCACTGTTTCCCCTCCTTCCTCTCCTCCCATGTGGTCCTTCCATGACTGTATCAGCTTTGAAGGCAAGGCGATCACGGCCGACATTTGGGTTACACTTTAAGAGTTCAAGAGGATGTACAGGGCAGGGCATCTCTTCTCTGCCAACTTTCCCCAGGTGGCTGTGAATGCTCCCACATTGGCCTTTCACACGCAGCTCCTACAGATCAAGGATACCCTGAAGAGCCATGACCTTTATTTTCCTCTCTACTTTTGTTACATGCTTTATCTCTGCCATTCTCCATTTCCATACTGTCTACTTCAAGACTCCCATCCTTTCCACGTTGGTAACATGAGAGGACTCTGTCAAGAAATACACGGCATACAGAGGAGGAGTTCTTAATTTCCAGAAATTCATTTTAAAACATGAAAATATTCACAACACAACTGCACCCACGGCTCAAAAAACATTACGGAAGAGGGGCCAGAGAGACGAAAGCCGGGGCAGGAAGTTTACTGTGAGACTCTGTCTCCTAGGAATGTGGGAAACTACATCCAGAAAGTCTCGCCAACATGACTGCCCGAATGTGAGCTGAGCAACAACAGACACACTACCACAAACGGGGGAAATCCTACACAAAGAACTACAGGCAGCTAAGGATGCCGAGAGTGGGAGAAAAGGTCTTCCCAGGGAGGAGCACACCGATTGGCTATCCAGTACCAAATGGTCAGCCCTGAAGACATACACACAAGTAACATCCCACAGACAGAGCAAGTATTAGCTGTGTATGTGTGTGTGTGTATGTGTGTGTGTGTGTGTGTGTGTGTGTATCAACAACTAGTGAAAAACAAGAGGCTATGAATTTGAAAGAGAACCAAGAAATGGTATATGGGAGTGCCCAGAGGGAAGAAAGTGAAAAGGGAAATGATAAATTACACTCTGCTCTCAAAATTTAAAATAAATTATATATATATATATACATATATATATACACACACACACATATATATATATATATATATATATATAATTTGGTTTTTCGAGACAGGGTTTCTCTGTGTAGTTTTGGTGCCTGTCCTAGATCTCGCTCTGTAGACCAGGCTGGCCTCGAACTCACAGAGATCCGCCTGGCTCTGCCTCACGAGTGCTGGGATTAAGGGCACGTGCCACCACCGCCCGGCAATAAATAATATTTTAGACCATAGAAATATAGTAGTGTAAGATGATTTGGGGGCTGGGGATGTAGCTTAAAGATAGAGCACTTGTCCATCATGCACAGGGACTTAGAATGAACGCCCAGTACAAAACAACAACAAAGATTATGTCATTAAGTCCATAAGCATTCAAAAATGGAGAAGGCCTAGTGGTCCCCTGGGATGACCTTTCCACTCACAAGCAGTCTCATTTCATAGGCAGGATGGCTGAAGTTCAGGGTCATGGCCCATCAGCCTGGCTGACTCAGGGGTCCACGTGTTTTCTACTAGACTCTCGTGAGATCAGCCAAAAAAGTATCCTGGCATAAATGTATCCAGATGTTAATTCTCCTTAGTTATTTATAATCTGAAACTATAGCTTTATCCTGTCAAACTGGCTTAATATATCTGATAGGAATCTAATACAATATTTAGACCTCACCAAATCTTCACTTTAAGAAGGATTTTGACTTTCAAACTGCATTCCTATTTCATGCATGTTAACCTTGGGAGTGCTTTATCTTGGTTTTGTGAGGAAGTAACTGTACATCTGCTTGGACGAATTTTTTTTTTTTTTTTGAATCAAAGATGGCTTTCTTTCCCTGTATTTGCACCCTGGCTAAAATTTAATACCTAGTAGTTTCCTCTGACATAAATTTACAAGATGAAGAAGAAACTAACACTGGAGGGGGGAAACCAATACTTTCTAAATTAAGAAAAGATACTTTAAAAGTGGCTTCTCAACCATCTGTGGTGGAGGTCTCGTTTTTAACAATTATGTTTTCAGCTAAAGTGTGGTGGTGGTACATGCCTGTCTTCGGGTATCTGTCTTGCTTTAGTGAGAATATCTATTGCTGTGAAGTGACACCATGACCATGGCAGCTCTTATAAAGGAGAACATTTAATGGGGGCTGGCTCACAGTTTCAGAGGTTTAGTCCATTATTGTCATGGCAGGAAGTACGGTGGAAGCATGGCAGCGTGTAGGCAGGCATGGTGCTGGGGGGACAGCCGAGAGTTCTACATCTTGATCCTCAGGCAACAGGAAGTGAACTGTGTCCCACAATGGGTATAGCTTGAGCATAGGAGACCTGCGCTCACAGTGACTCACTTCCTCCAATAAGGCCACACCTCCTAATAATGCCACTCTCTATAGGCCAAGCATTCAAACACATTAGTCTATGGTGGCCATACCTATTCAAACCACCACACCTCTCAGAAGCAGGAGAAGAACCATCACAAATTCAAGACCAGCATGGCATCCAGTCTCAGTGAAAATTTTTATTATTATTTCCAGTGCATCACAACCCAGAACTTTTGCAAAATATAATAAAAAGCAACTAGAATAAAAATTATAAAAGACAAAATTATTAACTTATTATTAAATCTAACAGGTATTCAATTTTTCTTTTGTGAGTTTGTTGTTGTTTCCTTTTCTTTTTGCTTGTTTGTCTTGTTCTGTTTATTGAGATATGGCTCCCTGTGCAGCACAGGCTCTCCTTGAATTCAAGACAGCCTCTGCCCTCAGATTCTCAAATGTTACAATTATGGGCACAAGCCACCCCACCTGAGTATGAAGTTATTCAATTTCTCTCCAAGTTTCTGAAAGCTCATAGGTAGTTTCTGAAATCTCACATTACTCTCAAATGTGCACTGTACTTAAACTCTCCACAAGTCACTATGGAGAAGTAAGGTTTAAAACTAGAAATGATTTTTTGCAGGTGTAAGCAATGTCAAATTTGATGAATTGTAAGTTGCTTTAGGTCAGACAAAGTTGCTTAGACAACTTTCTGCATTCTCCACAGTGTGGATGGTACGTTGCTGTGGAATAATCCCCTTGTATACTGTAAAGGTTTGTCACTCAAGTTTTAATAAAACTCTGATTGGCCAGTAGCCAGGAAGTATAGACAGGGCAACCAAATTAAGGGTGATGGGAAGGAGAAGGGCAGAGTCAGGAGGCACCAGCCAGATGCAAAGGAGGCAGGAGATGGACTTGCCATGCTAATAAAGGTACCACCACATGGCAGAGCATGAATAATGAATATGGGTTAACTTAAAATGTAAGAGTTAGCTAGTAACAAGCCTGAGCTACCAGTCAAGCATTTATAATTAATATAAGCCTCTGTGCGGTAATTTGGGGGAGGGGGCTGCCAGGTATTTGGGAGTTGCTGGAGGGATGGAAACATCCACTTACAATACCTTGGACATACTACACATTCAGGAACATTGGCGGCATAAACAAAGGGATGTGATCATTAGCAAGGTCTGTCAACAATAACTGGCACATATTAACAGGGCAGTTGCTGTGCTGTAGGCTCATGCACCCGAGGCCACACATGAATCCTGAAGGCTTATATTGTATGACTGTAATCCTTCAGGGCTTTTATCCCATATTGATTATAGCAATTTCATGCTCTGTAAGAACTGTATAAATTGGTGCTCAACCAATTTGCTCAGTTCATGGGATTATTCTTCTAGAAATATCCATTACCAAACAAAAATAGTCCCTATTATTATAATTATTACTAGGGTACAGTTATTCTATAAACTAGCAATACAAAGGTGTTCACTGGAGACTTGGGATAGGAGAGCATTCTAGGCGGCGGGGGTGGGGTATTCATAAAACCGCATCTTTGAATGTCAGGAAAGACACACAAAAGTATTTGCAGTGAGCTGGAAATCTCCCTACAATGCTGGAAGGTGCTATACATGTGGCTGGGGGAGAAAGGCATCAACAGTCTTACCCAGCTGGGAATCCTAGGAACTATGTCACCAACGGGCCTTGCAAGATATACCCACATGCACAACAGTGGCATGGCCATTATGGAGGTAATCAACATCCCCCTGATAGGATTTGAGGTCCACTCTTCATCTCCATACTTGATACTATAAACCCCACTCAAAAGCTTATGGTAGTGGGTAGATCATAGGCCCTAGGGGGAATTCAATTCTATTGTTTAACTAAATTAACAAAGTATAGAATCACCTTCAAAACATATATTTACATCCACTGACAATTACCACTCTCAGCATTAACCAGAAAAGTCTCTTTTCAGTGATCTACAGTGAATGCACACTTGTGGCTACAAGAAGGGATGGAAATAATGATGGTTGAGTGATCAGCCCTAAACAAGATACTTATACCATCCCCTCCAAAGCTCAAGAGACAGTGTGGTGGAATTTTATCTGTGCACCCCAATAAAACTTATCTGGGGATCAGAGGAAAAAGCCAGCTACTATATTAAACATAGAGGTCAGGCAGTGGTAGCACACACCTTCAATCCTAGCATTCAGGATTTCTGTGAGTTCAAGGCCACCCTGGGAACAAAGTCAGGCGTGGTGGCACATGCCTTTAATCCCAGCACTAGTTAATCATAAAAGTCTGGA